CCATTCACCTTTGTTGTCCAATCCAATGCACATGAACGATTGTCCTGCTCCAGCCCATCATTTCTATCATTAAACTTTCTTGATCCGATGAGATTTGACTGAAAAATGCTCAAACACAGAAACATCATCCAATATCAGAAGAATCAAATTGGTAAGTTATTTGTAACCTGCCAGCTAATAGCCCATTCCTCCCATTCACCTTTGTTCTCCAATCCAATGCATACGAACGATTGTCTTGCTCCAGCCCATCATTCCCATCATTTAACTTTCTTGATTCGAGGTAACCTGGTAGTAAAGGCAATGGCTGTTGTTGGATCATCATTATCATGTAAAGTGTAAAATGGCACACACCCTTTTGCTATACGTGAGGATCGTTTCTTTTATTTACGTATACCTATTGTCTATCGTAAGGGTGATGATCATGATGGGTGGATGGTGTATGTGGGGTCATTGAGTGGCCTCAGTGTAATAGCAGTAGGGGGATTTAAACTTGGGGGACAGCAGCTCCACGACTTGAGACAACGCTTCTCTTCTTTTTCTCCCACCTTTCCTTATTCCATTCACGACATTGCGATCAAGGTAGGTAATGTATTATCAAAGAGTGCTCTTGTTGGCTGTGAGGTATTAATGTAGTTCTGAACATGCATTGCCAGGGAGTGAGTGTGTGTCCAAATGCTGAGGAATGAGCGTGGTTGGTGGTTGGTGGTTGCCATGGCGATATGGTTGCTTCCTTTTGCTCGTTGCTATTCCCGCTCTACGCTTGGTGTCAACAGGTACATTCAGAGTCCAATGTTGCAGCCGACTTGGTTCCATTGACGCGTCAACTTGTATAGAGGGCAAGTTTGGTTTCAAGACGTTGGCTGGTTTGGCGTTTTGTTTCGGCTCAACTATACTACACCATGGTTTTCGGTTTCCAGTAACCAACAACAACGGGTCTTTGTGTATATGGAAAAGGCAAGTACAATGAAACAAACAATGAAAAGGGTGTTTATTGTATGTGTGTGCTAATAATGAATTGAAATAGGTTTCTTTGGTCAGGCAAATGCAACTTGGGGGCATCATCATCATCATCTCTTTGGGTTCAAGTCCCAGCCTGTATCAAGTGGCCGCTGCGTCGCTCTGCACTAGCCAAGTGTGCTGGAAAAGCTTCTAGGAACGCGTCCAGGGCTCTACGGGCCTGCGTTTGAGTTGATGGGTCGACGACGATGGGTTTTTGGAAGAGCATGGTCACCGTGTTGAGGTAAAAGAGGATTTGCGACAGCTTGACATCAGTGTGAACCAACACGCTCTTCTCGTGACAGGCTCGTTCTTTCCTTTGAGGATTTCTTTTCATGAGGTGGGAAATGATCGGAATGATTGGGGATCATTCTTTCTTTGGAGAGGATGAATGAGGACAACTATGAGCCTGGACTCTACGTAAGTGACTCCTTCCTTGCCATGGATCGAACTGGCCTTGCGTGATTCGTGCAGTGCTTTCTCAAGAACAAGGGATCGCCCGACGTTGCTCGTATGGTGGTGATTTGGTTGTGAATTCCTTCTGATTTGCTTTCTTCCTTTGAGAGGATCGCCTAACGGTATACCAAATCGTCATCATTCTGATGCCAGATTGCCTAACTTGCGTGTTTTTACTTAATAGAGACGACCATTACGATGATTACCACATCCACAGCAATGACGATTACGATGATTACCGCATTCACAGCAATGAAAATTACGATGATTACCACATTCACAACAATGACAATGATAACGACAACGAGATTCAAAAGGAAGCCTGCAAGATCCCATTCTTTTCCACTTGCGTGTTTTGGATATCGGTGACGAGCAGGTTGATGACGGTAGATAAGTACGAGTACCAATACGAATGATGACGGAAGACGAAGACGAGGATGGCGGCAATGCAGCTAGAATGAAATAAAGCATTGTTTATTACGTACTTGGACTTTGCTAGCTTGTGGATTACATGATGTAGCTTGGAAGATGGAATAATAAAGGTGGTGGTTCGCTTATGTATCATTCATGCAAGAAGTGTATGCCTTTTGTGATACAATAAGGAGGAGTGGGATGACCATGAGAGAAAAAGTGAAGTGATCCGGCCATTGAATTTAAGGATGAGTGAACCATCAATTACTACCATGTCCGTGCGCATGAATTGATTGCTGGGCTTACATGTACAGTTGGTTTATGTAGCTCGACCTTCCCCTACATCCAAATGTGTTATGGAACCATTATTATTGCCATTAACACACCTTCCTTATTGGATGATGTATACCGCCCAACTTACATACATACCTTCTTAAAGAAATCGTCACCACTATCCATTTGTGCAACAATCTGTCAAGGACTGCGTGTGTAACCACGTGCCATTTCACTCAGCTCTCCATCTTTCCGTTAATGCAGCCGACACCATCCACTGGAGAAAGCAACTCCACCACGCTTATGGCATATGTAAAACATAAAGGTACCTGTTGCTCAAAATTTCACAAGTAATTCAGGTATCTTTATTAGGACAATGTTGCTCAGCGTGGTGTAGCGCACCTTGTTGTGTGCAATCGACCAAGTTTTACGATCGAGGTGGGCAACTTTGTTCTATCAAAGACCCCAGAACTACTTGTGAAATCTTGAGATACAGGTGTCTTTATGTTGTAAGCATGATGCTATACGACAAGTGGTCTTTGTTCAATATCAACTAGCCGGCTGTAATAGAGCCAAAGACGCAGAGGGGTGTGTTGTGTAGCGAAGTTCTCGAGGGCAAGACTTGAAGGGCCGATCCTATTGGAGGAGAAACGCATGATAGCTGAAGGCCGTTCTATCACCCCCATGGCAAGGAACGTTTACGCTTGTGCATTATGCATATCGAAGGAAATGCCGTCGACTTGAGACTCTTTTGAAATGCACACTCACGCAAACATCCCTCGAACAACGTGTTATTTTGAGGAATTTGAGCACAGTAGCAGCAGCAGCAAGTGATTCGTGATAGCTGATGTAGTCGATGATGGACATTGCCACCTTGCCTATCTCTGATTCTGGTCCACGGGTGGAAAATTAACCACGCCCAACTTTTGGGTGAAGATGCTCCAACAATCTATCAGCTCATCATGTCGACCCATCACCACAACAAACATTTTATCACTCTTCCCTCTTTTTCATGATCATCGGTATACCCACGCCCAACATGCATAATAAGAAGGGCGTACTTCTCCTATTCTCACACATCTCTTTCTTCGATCATACGTATCACTCTCTGATGCCGATACCTCCAAAGCTCTTATCCATGTGAGTATCGTGGTGGATGGTTCTATGTTGTGAGCGATCCATGTGCTAATACTTGTGATGGTTTTTAGCCCTTCATTGTTATCCTACTTTCATCATTGCCACCGCCATCATTTGTGATGCTCAGATCTTATGATTGACAACATCCACAGCAGGTGTGTGTCTGCAAATGCTTATACCTTCCATAGCTTACGTGTATTTTGTAGAGTTGGTGATCTTCCATTGCACAAGGCCACGTCGCAAATCATTGTTTTTGCACATCAAGTTACTAAAGTGGTCAATGATCGAAAGCAATCAATCATAATGTCATTGCCAGTGGGAGAACTAGGTATGCTGGAACAACGGCTTGTAGACGTCATCTGCTTTCAGTATCCAAGAGTGCACAGGGCTGAGGTAGAAAGGTGTTGAAACCAGTCTACTATTATGTTTCGCTCATTTACAAGGTAAAAAAGTGAATGGATGTGTCTATGGATCAAAAGATGCTGATTGACAACGTTGATGTTTTAGTGAACCATAAGGCATGATGACCGAAATACATCCAAACTATGCAATGACATTTGCAAGCTCATGCGAGAAGCAAAGGGTAACCTGGATAGCGCGCTACTACACATCTTCGATCGCCATATGCAAGTGCCACTGCTATCATAGTATATGCATACCAACGATGTCACGGCACATAATGGGCCTCTTCATCACGCCAAACCCGGTCTATACGTTGCCATCCATGAATCCAAGATCCATTTCTCTGAAATCTTGCATCGTTACAGGCGTTCAAGAAAGATTTCATCGTGCTGATATCGATGATCTTTGATCTCGAACAAACAGCACTTAAAATCAAAAAGTCCATGAACCTGGTGGATTGTGGAAAAGGTTCATCAATGAGCCGCCATGTTGATCCTGATGTTTGCCTTGACGTGAATTCCTACTCGTCTTCATGGCGGCGTACATTCTATTATCCACCAAGGGAAAATCCATCGTCTGCTGTTCTTCCATAGGATTTTGGTAACGCAACAACGTATCCTGCTGTCATTGAGCTGTGGTCTCCTCGCCAAAATATGGCCGCTGACGAGTTTGGTTGGGCAAACACAATATAGATCACTGGAAATACAGGCATCACAACCGATCGCCATCCATTCAATAATGAAGATTGATCATCCCTTCCACATTTTTCCCGTTTTGTGATGGTGGCAAAGCAGCTAGATGAAATAAAGCATTGTTTATTACCCACTTGAACTTCTTTACATAGCCTATTACTCCCTTGTGGGATGGAATACATAAACGTGGTTTCATTATCAGTCTGCAAAAAGTGGTATATGCATACGCTAATGCAACAAAGAATGCGTTCAAGGATATATAGATACATGATTGGATGGATAATTGTGAACAATACGACCTTGGACTATGGGTTAACAATGAACACTAGGCCGCCAACAATGACAACTCTTCCGTTACATAGCCAAGCCTGGGAATTTATGCGCAGTAATCCATGATTTGATCCCTTTTCCCATTTCATAAAAGACGTTTTACATCACGCTTCCCCGCAAGTCTGTGATTAGAGAAGGCATTGCCGTATGGTTTTATTATTCATTGAATCATTATGGGCATACACAACATGATGTTACTTGGCGGCCATTTCATTTGGCTGAGCTTGGAGCTGATTTCCATGAAAGAACACCAACTGAGCCCGCTTGAACTACTACTAGACCAGCTCTTCCCCACTCTCCGCAATGAGCTTTGCACCCAATTCACCCGCACCCACCGAGGATCAGAACAGGCTTCTCGATGAAGTCCTCAATGTCGTCAAGGTCCAAGCACATCAAATGAAGAAATGCCTTGTATGTATATATGGAAACCACGCGTACGTACGACGCATGTCGCTCATTCTTGGCACTAGGAAAACAATCGACTTATGGATGGCCTCAAACACTGCTCGAACATGCTAGGCGAGTTACGTACTTCAGCCTTGACGCCTAAGAACTATTATGAGCTTTGTAAGTAGCTAGGCAATTGAGCGAGAGGACACACATGACTCATTGAGTATCGTTTTGCCATCAACAGATATGGCCATCTTTGACGCTTTGCGACACTTGTCTATATATCTTACCGAGGCGCATCAAAGTGGACGACATCACCTTGCCGACTTGTATGAGCTCGTTCAATACGCGGGAAACATAGTGCCACGCCTATATCTCATGATCACAGTGGGAGCTGCTTACATGGGAATGCCTGATGCTCCGGTGCGAGAAATTATGCGTGACATGATGGAAATGTCTCGAGGTGTACAACATCCCGTTCGTGGTTTATTCTTGCGCCATTATCTCAGTGGTCTCACACGCGACAACCTTCCCGAAGGAGAAAGCAAAGGGTAAGTTGTATGATGTTGTAAAAAGAAAGGGATCTAATCTATTGCTATCAGACCCGAAGGCAATGTCCAAGAGTCCATCCAATTTGTCTTGACCAACTTTACAGAGATGAATAAGCTTTGGGTCCGTTTGCAACATCAAGGCCATTCTCGTGATCGTGAAAAACGTGAGGCTGAACGTCGTGAACTTCGGATTTTGGTGGGTACCAACCTTGTACGCTTGAGTCAGCTGGAAGGTGTTGATCTTGAAACATACCAAACAGTAAGTATTGCTTGAAAGTTTCATAACGTGTGATGAGCCATTGTTAATCATACCTAATTAGACTATCCTCCCTGGTATCCTGGATCAAGTCGTCAGCTGTCGTGATGTGATTGCTCAGGAGTATCTTATGGAAGTCATCATTCAGGTAACAAGAATTATACCTTGTTGGAGCGCAAGTATACTTAACATCCTTGATATCCTTGATAGGTGTTCCCTGATGAGTTCCATCTTCGCACTCTCCAACCTTTCCTTTCTGCTACTGCTCAGCTGCATCCCAAGGTCAACGTTAAGCAAATCATCATTGCTTTGATTGATCGTTTAGCCGCCTATGCTGCTCGTGAAGCGGATGTTGAAATGTCACTCGAAGCCAAGCGTGAACAAGAAGATCGTGTACGACGTGCTGTGCTTGCAAAGAAACGCAAGAGCGACACCGATGAGGAAGTCGAAGCAGAGGAACCGACAAAGGAAGAACAACCACAAGAGCCTGTTCAGGAGCCAAAGGAGGAGAAGGAAGAAGAAATTGAGCAGCCACTTGAAGAAAAGGATGATGCCGAAGCCGAGAAAAAGGAGGATGAGGATGAGAAGGAATCCAAAGAGGAAAGCACTGAAGAGCCTGCAGCTGCTACCACTGAAGAAAAGAAGGAATCGACCACTGAGGAATCTGAAAAAGTGGATGACAGTGACAATGTCAAACGTGTGCGTGGTATCCCCGAGGATGTTGAGTTATTTGCAGTCTTCTGGAGCCAAATTGTTGAATTGGTCAAGGTATGCTTGTTTTATATTGTTTCCCTTCACGTTGCATTAAACGAGTTATACATTTATAGGTCCGCCCCGATCTCTCCATTCAAGATTTGACAGCATTGCTCGTCTCCTTGATCAATCTCTCATTATCATGCTACCCTGATAAGCTCAACTATGTCGACCAAATCTTGGGTTACGGCAAGGAGAAGATGACCGAGTATTCAGATTCCCCTGATCTTCATTCAAAGGCAACCGAAGCCAGCCTCCTCGCCCTCTTGTTGGCACCTATCAACCAATACACCTCAGTCCTCACGTTGCTTGCACTTGACAACTATCAGCCTTTATTGTCATTGCAGCCCTTCACAACACGACGTGCAGTTGCCCATGCCGTAGTTTCAAGTGTTTTGCGCAATGAGACGATCATTGGCACTCCCGAAGATGTTCATGGTGTATTAGAGTTATGTGACGTCTTGCTGCATGAGCAAAAGGATGCTCCAGTTGCCACAACTACCGCCGCTTCGCCAATGTATGCTCGTAGCCGAAAACCAGAATTCACAAGTATCGAGGATGAAGAATTTGCAGAAGAACAAGGTTGGGTGGCCAAGATGATTCATCTCTTCCGTTCAAAGGACGAGGATACACAATTCTTGGTAAGGCTGAGGAGTGAATGATTTTGGATTACGATGTCATACTGATTTGCGTAAATTGTAGCTGTTGTCCACGGCACGCAAGTTACTTGCAAATGGTGGTGATCGTATTCGCTATACATATCCATCATTGGTGATTTCAGCCGTCAAACTTGCCAGACGATACCGTTTACAAGAGACTCAGGTATGGGAATATGATTGGACCTCCTAATATTGATACTAATGCTGAATGGATGGGCTTTTAGGATGATATTTGGGAGAAGAAAACGTCAGCTTTGTTCCGTTTCATCCACCAAGTCATTTCAACGCTTAACAACAAATGCGATTATGGAGATATTTGTTTGCGACTATTCCTTGTGGCAGGTCAAAGCGCTGACGAGAGTGGTTTTGAAGAGATTGCATACGAATTCTTTGTTGAAGCATTCACCATTTATGAGGAAGCTATTTCTGAATCACGGGCACAGTACCAAGCAATCATTTCCATCATTGGTGCTCTCCAGCAAACACGTGTATTCTCTGCCGACAACTATGATACGCTTATCACCAAGGCGGCATTACATGGCGCCAAGCTACTCAAAAAGCCTGATCAATGCCGTGCAGTATATCTCTCATCGCATTTGTGGTGGATGAATGAACGCTCTGAAGAAGAGGATCGGGATAGTCTCTTCCGTAACGGCAAGCGTGCACTTGAATGTCTCCAGAAGGCTCTCAAGATTGCTGACAGTTGCATGGATGCTGCCACTAATGTGGAGCTTTTCGTGGAGATTTTGAATCAGTACATTTACTACTTTGAAAAGGGCAATGATGCGGTATGATACTTAGTACATGGTACTATGCCAATAGCTGCTAATCGTTTTCGGATTTTATGATAGGTTACTCCCAAGTACCTCAATGGTTTAATCGATCTTATCAACACAAACATGGGCAACATGGATAACCCGGATCAACATCCTCCCACCGCCAATTCATCTTCGCTTGTGGAGATCCAAGGATCGATGGCCGAGTATGTCCAACGCCACTTCCAAGACACTCTTAAGCTACTTAAACAGCGCAAGGAATCATCCTCCAGTAATGAATGGGAAGGTGCCAAGTACAGCGAGGTTGAAACCATGTAGAAATGTTACCCTTTTACTCTTACACATGTACCCGAATTTGATGAATGACATTATTGTATCGTATAACCCACTGGGGTCTTTATGTGCGAATAAGAAAGATACCTTTGCAGGTTTATTATGCATTGTCACAAAATGTATAGTGTACGAGGGATCTCATGCATGCATATGCGAACGTCCTGTGCTCGAATTTCTTTGTTACCGATATCTTTCACCGCTTGTCAATGACATTCCGTACCCCAACCAACGTGATAGATCGTCGTCAACTCACCTACACTACTTCTACTGCAATTGGACGCTTCAATGTGAACCTACCGCGATTGGAGGCATGTCGAAAAAGTTGCATGGGACACTTGCACGCGTGTTAACGTTCGACTTTTAGGGCAAGAAGAAACGGCTTCGATCGATCAACGACATTATGCATCAAGTGATCCAGCGTCATAAGAAGGTCAACTTGCTGAATACGTTGTATGCTACATGTGCAGTACCTGGGGTAGGTGAATATACGTGCCAGGGGTCATGGGATCAAATGTGCCTGAATCATTCATATGTGACATAGCAACGAGATACCGTTGAGCGCATGGCATCATCGCACAAGGCAGTATGCGCTTTCATCATCAAACAACTACAACAAGTATTCCCTCCTGAATTCTGGGGCTCTCGTCATAACTATGCGGTGATCCTGGAAGGTAAGATCCATCATTGGCGGTTGTCATCAGCTATGGTTAATATCTTGTTACTGTCATCAGGCATTCGAAAACTGGTGATGATGCGTAAACGAGAAACGGTCCGCGTTCCATATCTTTTACGTGGTTTCAAGGTGAGTCATCAGGGATACCAAGTAGCTTACGTGGTAACACCTTGTGAATAGGTGAGCCAATGCACATGGCTCGGCTCCAGCTCCTCTGGGATTGTTCCTTCCGACATGAAAGTGCGTATCAACATTCTATCACAGGTGATGCACTGGTTTTATCAAAGCTATCTTATCCCCTTGATGCGTGTAAGTATGAGGCATTTTGATGATGATCATATCGCTGACTTGGGATACGGCTCTGTAGTCATGTTTTCATATCACGGAGGGCTCATCACAAGGGAACAAGCTATTCTATTTTCGACGCGACGTATGGGATCAAATGTCACATTCGTTCTTTAATCAGCTTTCGTTCCGCTTTGAACCTGTGGATAAGGTATGGAAAAGGAAAAGTGTAGTTGCCACCAGCTCATTTGAAAATTTCTAGGTGCATACGTCCGAGCGTCATCTGGGTGCGTCACCGCTAAAGTTAATTCCTAAGGGGGATACCTTTCGGACGATTACCAATATGAAGAATGCGGTCTTGGTAAGTTGAAGAGATTGTGGTTGGGTGGAGCTATCATCTCACTATCTTTGTAATACCATATCATTAGCCGAGTTCAGGTGCACGAAAGGACAACAACCACCATCTCAGGATCATTTTGACAGTTCTTCAATTCGAAAAGGTGACGAACGCTTTGAACTTCTTTCTCGTTTTATTCGTGTTCTTATTTAGCGATTTGCAGACCCAAAACCCAGGGATACTTGGAAGTACGGTGATCAGTCCAAAAGATCTTTGGGAGCGGCTGACAACATATAAACGTCGAATGAAGGATCGAACAAGGTAAGCAGTTTTGCATGCATGGATCATTACCATACCACGAGCTAACTTTGATCCTACAGCTCGTACCACTTCTTCAAGGCTGATATCAAGCGCTGCTTTGATAGCATTGAACAAGATCGACTGCTACTGATTTTGGAGGATTTGCTTCAAGACGTGAGTATCGACCTGTATCCCCTTGGCAATACACTTACTAATTTCATGTATTAGAAACGATACGCCATCAGATGGAAGGACAAGGAAACCAAGGGTAGGTATCAATTGACAAAATAATGCATCTATTGATATGGTGATGGTAGGTACATTGGCACGGGGCCTTCCACTCATTGTCTATTTTGACGACTGGAGTCGCATGTCGAAAAGTGATAAGGTAAGCAGTAACCATGAGACGATGATGGGATATGTCAAACTAATGTGTGTGTACCAGACACAATATTGGACTTACTCAGGCGACAACCTATTATCATTGTTGAAGGAGCATATAAAAGCAAATACCATCAAGGTGAGTTGCATTGGGGTAGTAACCTTTATGGCGGCATTGCTGATATGGGACATAGTATCGAAGCAAATTTTATCGACAAAAAATTGGTATACCCCAAGGATCATGTTTATCCTCGCTCCTCTGCAGGTACCGCATTACCTATACTACTCACATCCCAGTACTAAGGCTTTTACTTTCATCGCTGTAGCTATTTTTACGCATGTATGGAACGGCAATACCTGTCATTTATCCAATCCGATCGTGAAGCTGTAAGTAACGTACATGTAACCCTATACATACCCTTCCTAACTTTTTTCTCAAACAGCTTCTACTGCGATATGTGGACGACTTTTTGCTGATCACTCCAAATCAAGAGACTATAAATGCATTTGCAACCTTTGTATTGAATGGTAAGTGTCATCATCATAGGCAAATTTGGCATTTGTTTAATATGTCTCTTTGCAATTGTGAAGGTGCCAAGGACTTTGGTTGTGAATTCAACGCGCAAAAATCAATGTCGACGATGAGGATCGAAGCCAATGATTCCATTACTGTATGTACAACACCAGGTAAATATATCATTTACACGTTGTATCAGGATCTTCGATTGCTAACGACACGGCTTAGAATTTCCTTGGTGCGGCTATTTATTCCATAAAGAGACGCTGGATGTCTTCTCTGACTATACCCGATATTCAAACACTGGTACGTACCTTCATGGTCAGGAGATCAATCATTGCTTGTCGTGTCTAACTCATATTCTTAGGCATGAACGACTTGCTCACAGTGAACTATACCCCAACAGCCTCCGATCTTATACACAAAGCTACTCAGTGAGTCGATAGCCTATGACAACCCATTCACGTGCCAACCAAGGATGTACATGTAGGGCGATAAAATTGAAGCAACAATTGATATTGACGGATCCATCATACAACTGCACCAACACGTTGTATCGCAACGCCTATGAAAGATATCTTCTTGCTGCCGTGAAACTTAGCGTTTATTGCAAAGAGCTTTGGATTGCAGATGGAAAGAGGCCATTACCCCCGATGTACCTTTACGGTAAGTAGAGCATACTCTATTTGGTTTGAACAAGGTAGTAATGCATAAGCGTCTCTTTGATAGATGTTGCCAAGCAGATCTACGAGCGAACCTATGATGCCTCGAAATCGGTGGATAGGGACATGGAGCGTGGCCTCTTCATCCGTGCCTTCATAACGGTTTTTCAACGATGCCCACAATTATTCTCTGGTGTGATTGATCTACTTCATGATGCTCTTCTCGAGATTAAAAATCGACATCACATATCCCGTATGATTTCATCTTGGCCGGAGACGGGTCTCTGAATGAAATAAACGCTTATACAAGTTATGTTGTGCTTTTTTGGATAAATGAAAAATGAGCAAAGATGGACCACTATTGATGATTGTTGAATGAAACCATGTATGTTCTTTCTACTTCACCCATCCCTTCTTCCGTAATAATAGAAACCCACCCCAATGCACATTGTTTGGCAACGTCTTGCTACATTCTGGTTCTTTCTTTATACAATGAAATTCGATAACACAATGACGAGTTGATTGTCTGCACTTCATTATCTTCCAATGGTTGCTGGGTTACGTGTTTGTGCCATTATTTGGTTTCCTCGATCAAAAACAAGATTAGATGGGTCACACAAGTATTGATTTCGTCGCCACTGATATGCATGATCATTTTGTGGATCACTTAATGTGGGTGATCGGCATCGGATGTTATACAAAGATACTCCTGCAGCTGATACGAAAAGGGGGAAGGACAAGAAATGACAACCAGTAATCCCCGTTACATCTCACGGCCATTACTATTTAGCAAAAATGAGTCTCCCTTTTTCACCACTCGATCCTGCTGTGAGCTTTTTATTCATCCTCTTTCTTCTCTCTTTTCAACTCCAATCCTTTATCCTGTCGTCAGCAATCTATTCAGCCGACACGCCCTCCTACTACTGCCGTTCCTTCTTTCTTCACCACTTACTGCTTTCGCAACATCTCCTCCCCCCCCCTCACACACTCCTTATACAATGACAACCGAACAAAACATTGCTTATCAACATTTTCATACGGCACTCGAAAGTCTCGCTGAATACAAACCACGATATCAGCATCAACAAAAGAATGATCACCCTTCCCATATGTACCTTTCGAACAAGCTCAGCTCCCACACCATTCCTTCAGCATCTGCCTTTGGAGATGAACACCTTCCTTATTCACCTTATTATTCGTTTGGTATCAGCAACAACAGCTGTGCTTCCAGTTTTACGTCTATAAGTTCTTCAACATCGATTGCCTCCTCTGATGACTTTGATCCATTGCCCGAACTCCGAGCTTTTGGTAAAAAGGCAATGAAGCGAGAAAAATCCAGCTCTAAGAAAATGACATGTACCATGGATCCATCATTGGAAAATCCAAACGATATGATCGCGTATTCTGAAAACATTGAAAGCAAGCGGTAAGGGCAACGAAAAGACACTTGTCAACCAAGTCCAGCTCGCTCACACATCCATTGCAGAGACTTTTATGGCTTCAAATTGCCTACAGAATGGGTATCGATCGAAGAGCTCTATCGATTTGACCGAGGTTACAAACCTATTCTCGAGCGACAAGCATCTAAATGGGCTACATTCCTGGCGGAGGCTGGCAATCATTTGCCCCCTTTATGCTGCAAATGTTAGTGTATTCACAACCCCATTTTCGTAAACACAGCTAACCACATGATTGCCTTTTTGATATTAGTGAAACGGTATACTCGCAAAGGTGTGCCTCGCCACCTACGAAGTAGCGTGTGGATGCATTATAGCGGTGCACAGGCCAAAATGAATGCCGACCCTGGGTTGTACAAAAGATGTCTCGATATCGGAAAGGAGGAGAGCAATGAACATTTACAGATTATCCAGAGAGGTAACGCCCAACAATGATATTTTTCGTTAATACCCATCCAATTAAGTTGCTTTTGGCGTCAACAGATGCTCGGCGTACATTCTCGGAAAACACCTATTTCTCACAACCTGGTGCATCAGTCGATGAAGAAGACTTGGAAAGCAATCCCAAACAACGTGCACTGAAAAACGTGCTTGTTGCATTCACCACCCACCTTGGATTTTATCATCCGTCATTTGCGACACTTGCTGCTTTCTTTTTGCTTATTGTGGATGACGAGCACAAGGCTTTTTGGTTGCTTGAGCAAGTTGTATTATATTATTACCCCGAGAACGCCTTTAATGGTCGTGATCTTTCGATTGATCAATCAGTGCTTATGCAGCTTGTCTATGATAAGATGCCTGGGGTATGGAACAAGTTGAGCAATAAGCGGTGTTTTTGGGAATGCAGCAGCAAAAAGGGCCAAATGCCTCCTGTTACTGTAGTCACGAGCCACTGGTTCCTTGATGGCTTCATCAACATACTACCCATTGAGGTAAGCAAGGATTGCCAATTCCATTTCAACATCTTCGTTACGCGTATTCTTAATCTAATCCCCTTCGTTTGCATTTCAATCAGACCATCGTTAGAATTTGGGATTGTATCTTCATGTAAGTCATCTCCTTTTCTACATGTGCTATTATTCATCTCCGCATGCTTATACATGTAACTGCTAGTGAGGGATACCAAGTCTTGTTTAGGGTGGCATTAACCATTTTCAAGATCAATGAGTCCCATATCCATTATGCTTCAGATGACATTCAAGCGTCTCGGATACTCCAAAATACGCCTCGTGGATTAATCGATTGTGATGCATTTTTGGAGGTAAGACGTATATACTTGCGTTGCCATGGCATGGCCCATTGACTTGTTTCCATGGAAATTAGGCAGTGTTTTCCAAAACCGGTGTTGCAAATGAAATTACTTTTCGTGATATCGAGCGTCGACGAGTAGTACTCCGTTATCGATGAAGCCCACGAAATCAACCCACCCAAAGTAATTTCCATAGAATACACCCATCAGCATACCAATCAAACTTGTCATCTATATAACATCTTCACATCCTGAAACATGATACTATCTTCGCATCTGTCACTTTCATCATGACTTTAGCAAAAAAAGGCTGACTAGCCCATTTGATACATAACGTACACGTGTGTGCATAGCCAAATAGTAGCATGCAATGCTATTTATATACAATGGATTACAATCTATGGGTGCTTATGGGGAATCTTTCAAAGGCGCAAAGCCTACACGATGATTTCCAAAATCAAAAATGCTGAGGAATCGATAAAGGATAAAGTTGCCAACGACATACTGTTGGCCTGGGCTGATAGCAAGGATGCATTGCTCTTGGTCCACCTGAAAGACCAAATCTGAGATGGGAAAGGATAACGGGAAGGTAGTAGCACCTGTAGGGTCATTGCTATCATAGAAATGAATGGAAAGGGTTGTGTTGTCGGATAATCTAGGATTATTGCAATCGACAAAATAGCCACCTTGTTCTTTGCGGATGCGAGCCTCTGGAGCCAAATGATTGAGGATGAGCTCTTGAGCGTCCTTTTCAGGCATACTGAAATAGTTGGAACCGGTGTCGATGATAAAAGAGGGAGCATTGCCCATGTCTGATGATAAAATCGTAGTTGTATTATTGTTGCTTTCCATTGTAATTTGGTTGGCTCGACCATCCCAAAACATATACCCGGTATCATTGGTAGCAAATTGTCGCCATTGCGAGATATTGGTGTATCGGATAGCCTGTGGATCAATAATGCTTGTATTTACAGCTCCAAATGTCACTGATCCGGTCCACAAATCGACATCTTCTTCGGTGGTCGTATCGGGGTTATTGTGTTGATGGAACGCTTGCCCCATGTGTACCGAAAAAACAGGCTCTGGAATGAGGTGTGCTGCATAAAGAGCAAATGGGATGGGAAGATAGCTAACATTGTAATACGTTTGCAATGAGGTTGACCATGGGAAACTCGCTCCAAGGATACCATCGATGGTGTATTGGCTGTTGGGATCTTGTGTGGTGAAGAAATGTTCGGTGTCATTGACTACTGCAAACATCTGTTGGGTAAGTACAGCATCGTCTACAGCGATTCGATCCACAGCATAGGTGCCATTGGAGCTGCCGATAGCATAGTTGATGATAAAGTCATAAGGGGTGGATGCGTAGGTGGTGGATGCATGTGGATCATACACTGTAGTGTGGAGTAAAAGTCAGCTCCGGCTTTGACATCGATTATTGGTTTATGCGCCTTACCATTGTCGGCAGCACAGGTGGTCGCATTTGTACACGAGGGCCCAACCACCCATGTATCGGCACTCCCAGTATCAAACAAGAGCAAAAACTCTCGTGCAGGTGTACCAATGCTGATAGGGATAGCAAACTCGGTCATGGCCATATCATAAAGACCTGGTGTCACACGTACAGTGTCGTTGCCACCATCCAAAGTTGAAAAGCTAGGTTGCTGTCGACGCTGAATCTGGTGACTTTTTCTCCCCTTGTATCGTCGCAACGGTAGTGACAATGGATGAGATTCCCTTTTTTGTTGTTGCTGTTGTCGAGATGGCAATCTATCGCTTGATGCAGGTACTGCGTTTGTAACGACAACGAGCAATAGCAGCGTCGTCAACGAAAAAAGTATGGTAACTAGTTTCATGGATAAGCGATGATCCGATGGGTAATGGGAAAGCGTTTCGTTGCTTGAAAGAAAAAAAAAAAGATTGTAATTGGCATGGCGCCTTCTTTTATGTGCAGAAATAGAGTCTTGGGTGAGCTGACACTTGCAAACTATAAGCATTAGCAGAATTCCATGTCACTGCTGAGCCCTATTGTTGGAGAATCACAAGGTCACTATGCCTTTCTCGTATTTCTTACACTATCAAAATCGACAACTTTTAACAAAGTTCAAATGTTTTGACACATGAGAGCAGTGAAGGATCAACGTCATATATCCCCTTGATGAGATCCACACGTCGCATATCGCATAGTGAAATGGCGAGACTACAACATGCTTCTACTGCTACACCATTGCTCTAAGAAGTGCACCATTCAAGTCCAGAAGCCGCAAAATGTGCTAGGTTATTTTTAGCCTACCTGCCGTTAGCGTATTCATGCCGTGTTGCAACAAAGGAAACTAGAAGAAGTCTGAATGTGAGAAGGACCAGCATAATGGTACAACGTAGTAGTAGTAGTAGCAGTGTTCGGTGTGGCTGGGCTATTACTACTACTTGTATGCTATTCATCTTCCCATGTCGACCATTTACTGATGTTTAAGCGAGCCCCATCATCACGCGGAGGGAAGAAATTCATATCAGCTGTCCAAATGACAAACTTTGTTTGTGAACTACCAAATGGAGCAGTGTCACCCAGGAGTATAATGATTCAATTACTGATCCATCCCGATGTTGGGAACATGTATCAGCCATATGGCTCAAGCGCCACCACATTTACCGCCTCGATACAACAAGAAGCATAATAAGGTTCCATTTTGACGTGCCAACAATCACATAACTTTGGTGCAATCCAAACACGGATGATGGGGATATATATATGCAGCCGTGTTGCTCTATTTTTGTCATGCAAACCACGCATGTTACACCCGTTTATGAAAATAGCCACTGGGACACCTTCGTTCAGGAACACCACGGCTGCTGCCAAACAATGTAATAATTAATCAAGGGATATGAAGACCGGTCTACTATATAGTAATAGAAGGGTCGATATATAAATCAGGATGCTTTATTGCTATTGGATGACTGGTAATAATATTACATCCGAGAATGGAAGAGGTGTGTGTAGGGATTGATTCACTGGGGCTGCTGTATTAGACCAACCATCGTACATCTTTGATTCGGACACCAAAAAGAGGTACAGTGGCAACCAAGCGCTATTCGTGCTCTCCCTTGTTCCAGTATTCCTTTCATCATCTTTCAGCATCATGTCCTTGAACGTCACCGACCCTGCCATTGCCGAAGCCTATGAGGATGTTCGAGATGACAAGTCTTCCACCAACTGGGCCTTTTTCGATTTCGCCGATGGTAAGCCCGATCGCCTCAAAGTCGCTGGTACAGGCTCTGGAGGTTTATCCGAGTTTGTTGAACAACTCAAGCCCGAGCTTGCTGGTTGGGGATATGTTCGCATGAACATGAGCAACGACGAGTAAAGTATCCATGAGCATATGAATGAATGTATGAATGAATGATCTCTGATTTGGGTGTGTGTGTACACCTTCTTGTAGATATTCCCAACGTGTAAAGTTTGTCCTTGTGCCTTGGTGTGGCGACTCGGTGGGTGTGATGCGCAAGGCCAAGCTTAGTATCCAAATCGCAGATGTCAAGAACATCCTACGCAACTTCCATATCGAAGTCCCCGCTTCAAGCACGCATGATTTGGAAGAGAACGATATTATGACTAGACTTCGTCGTGCTGGAGGTGCGAATTATGATAGACAGCTTTCCTCTTATTAGAATTAAAGGTCTTGTTCAAGTTCAAATGGATAATGTGCTATTGTGGATGTGGATGTTCATCTTTACCTTTGTTGATAATACTTTTGCAATGATCATACTATTATGAACAGCACCAAATACACAACCATGGATGTAAGCAACAACAGCTATATGCTTTTGAGCAGGCAAGTCTTTTATTGCAAAGGCAGATGTGCTGATTATGCAACAATGTCAACACCCAAGGACAACGTCGGGAAATGGATCATCGACTTGTACCAGAACACAACACTCCTTTCCTCCAATGTCAAAGCGACGACAACGTCCAAGCAAAAAGGAATCCGATCGTGGCGAATTCTTGAGTCAATTAGTGCAAGAGTACCTTGTGACAAGAAGTCTAGGCAAGTAGCCATACCTTGACAACCATCGTCCATGGACTAAATTGTGCTTCAGAAGCAAAACAACAAGTGCTAGCGAATCTGGCCAATTTCGCGTACGATCCCATCAACTATGAACACCTGTGGCAAGCCAACGCTATCGACCTTTTTATAAGTATGGCATGGATTAACTATTACACGTCTGGTATCTAAAGTATGGGCTATGTATATGCTTGTAGATGGCCTTGAGGATCCTGATCCATCGCTGAGGGAATTTGGTACGGGTGGATTAGCAAATGTTTGTTCAGGTAAGGAAGGATCTCTTGATACCATGGAAACGCGTGTATGGGATTAACAAAGGAATGTATTCGAAGATCCCAATCATCGGCAGTACATCTTTTTGCAACCGGAATGCATCGATGCTCTCAAGAAAACAGTATCGGATGCCGTCAACAGTACCCAGGCACAAGATGAAACGGTGATCAATGCAATGACTACATTAATGCTGCTTATTGAGCCATCATCCCAACAAGGTATGTCTTATTTATTATCGTGTTTGGCATATACATCTTGACATTCTATTGTTTTCATAGCAATTTGTACACACGACTTGAAGAAAGGGCTTGAGCAATTACGATCCAGTGAAGACAAGAATCCTCGAGTACGCACCATGGCAACTTTATTCCTCAACGACTATTTCCATTGAGATTATCCAAGGGAGTGGTATCATTTGGGTGATGAGCGATCGGTAGCCCACCATCGTTTCTTTTCAACAAAGGCATGCGGCACACCTGCACGGGTACTCTTGCTCGTCCTTTGATACAATACGATATCCCAGTCGATCGCTCTTTCAAAGTCGCTTTTACCGAACTCTTCACATGCACGTCGATACATATCATCCATCATGCCATCCTCAAGCACACGACGATTCCAAACAGATTGCAAGTCACGTGATTCTCCAGGCTCATCCCAATAGGCAAGGCTGATGTGGTTTATAGCCTTTGCGCGTATACCCTTGATGCGGCATGCAAGTTCATTGACGATTTCATGATAAATGGGTGGAACGGTTATAGAGAGCAACAAGTGCACCGGCATTTGATTGATAGTTTGCTCCTCTCCAGTGGCAGGATTGTGGATGATGGTGGAGTTTCTGACAAGAACTGGATCTTTATGGATATATGGAGGATCATGTTTGGTGAGGAGCGTATTCGATGTCGTCATAGTAGTGGGATCTTTCTTCAATAAATGATCAAGCGTTGTTATGACAAAAGGGAGCGTGTCCTTGGGAACGTGAAAGAAACCAGTCATGGATACGTGGCAATGATATTTACAAGCAGTTGACACGGCAGGTGGAACTCGAGTACTTTGAATGAAGGAATCGACATGGTGTCTGAATGGTGATGTAGGAGCTGGTTCCAAGTAGAGGATAAGTTCCATTGATTTGCATTTAGCTGAGTACCCAGCGTCTCCTCCTCTGTACCTTGTCTAAACTCTCCAAGCCACTGTTGTAGCTTTACCACCTTTGTACTCAACATGAAGAATAGTCCACGATCCATTTTCCTCGGATGGTAAGCTTGCTGTTTTGCCATTACAAACAACAAGAATACTGACATGAGCTTTTTATTATCATAGGGCAGGGTTGGCAGTTTGTATGTGGAACCGGAGAGTTGACGGCGAGCTATTCTAATAGTAGTATCACTAATATAGGCGCATTGGGAGGATATCTTGGAAGCAAGGCATACACTAGCAACCGACTCAAGGAATATACTACTCAAGGTTTCAATTCTTCACCAGAACAAGCTCACTATCAATCTGAACAACAACAACAACAACAACAAGCTGAAGAGAGCGGGGACAAACCATTGCGTCGATCAGTACAGCGTACTCTTTAAAAAGTTGCATAACAATACACCTACTTTGGAAAGCTGGTTCATTTGGATGCTCAATGAATGAATATTATGGTTGTTGGGGACAATGGTCAATTACACGAATGGATGGAGGAGGGAGGGGCTTTGGACCATAAGAAGAAAGGAGATTGGCAATAACAACAACATGATGCCATTATCATCATGCGCTAGTACCATTGACATGTCACTAAAAGTCTTTTATAGCCTATGTATCCCTGTTACCTTTGTGTGATTGTACAAGAGATGTTGTATATGCATACATGAATGAATTGTCAAGCAGCTGTGCTGGTGTGACCAAGAAGGGACTTGAAGATTTCCAAGACCGCAATGTTTTTGTGCAGTGAATACGGCTCTTGCTTTCCACCTCTTGCAAATACGACTCGCTCTCGTCCCCGTCATCGATCCTTTTCACAACTCGCGCTTCTTTGGCTGATCATGTCTCGACCCTTATCGCGTGCTTCATGCACGCTTGCTCGTGTTCGATTGCCGCCTCGATCTCCACAATGTAAAGATGGGTTCTCTTTTAAAGGTTGTCATGTCACTCACTCTTGAATTTAGGTACAACAATAGCTACGTTACGAGACACGCTACTTTTTCATGAGAGGCGACCTACGCAGCGACACGTATCCACGGCAACTGATATGGCAAATAAGGAGACAGCCAACAAGACAAAGCGTCGTTACCGTTGGCGACAACCTGCTCACCAGCTTACACTCGATGGAGGAGATACGCCACTTTCACCTGAAGAATTGAAGCAGATAATACACAAGAAGATGCAACAATCGTTGGGAGCAAGTGCTGACATGGCGTTGCCTGCTTCTCATACCCGAGAAACAATCCTTGGCCTTGCAGACATCCTTGACAAAAACAACGTTGCATACGACGCACACACGTACGAATTTCTTCTAAGCGCCCACGCCAAATCACACGACTACAATATGATCATGCCTTTGCTTGAGGAAATGCTTGACAAGGGGATTCGTCCAAAGCCATCCTTTTTTCATCGAGCGTTTGGGGTATGTTCTCATTTGTATTATCATGACCATGCATAGAACTAATCAGGGATATTTTTGGTAGCTTGCAGCACGTTTTGGTCAAGTGAGACTCATGGCCATGCTGAGAGAGGTATTCAAACATTGTGGATACAACCCGAATGCTCGAAGAGTACTGGTGGAGATGATCCATTGTACGTGCTATAATGGCGAATTGGAGCATGCGATTGATATTCTGGAGGCAATGAAGCGGAGCAACATAATACCAACATTACAATCCTACATGTCTATCGTGGATACCGCCCTTGGATATGGACAACCAGATGTCGCGTTCACCTACCTTCAGGAAGCAGAACGGGTTCACCTTGAGAGACATGCTGATATCGATACCCTACCGGATCACTTTCATCCCATCTTTATCAAAACATTACGTTGTGCAGCAATCAAAGGATCAGTAAGTAAAATGAACAAACTTTATGCATCTTTAATACTCATCATGGATTCTTCTACTAGTATGATATCGTTAAAGCTGCTTGGCAAATAGCAGTCAATGAGAAAAAGTTATCGCCCGATGAAGGTTTATGTCAATACGTATTGCAAGTCGCTGGTCGACATGGAGATTCTCAGCTCAGCATCGATGTCTTTCGTATCCTTGGATCGCTTGGATTCAGCTATAAGGAGTCCCATTTTGCAGCATTGATTGAATCATATACACCGAGTGAGGATTGGAGGAATATGCTCAAAGTGCTATACATCATGCGTAAGACGGGTGTGACACCATCGCGAGAAACAGCCAGGCCAATAGCATACAAATTGGGAAGAGATACCAAGGCGATACGATCAGCACGTGATGCGGCCTTGCAACTCCACAAGGAAGGTGCATTGGATATTGTTGCGTTCAATTTGATTATCCACGCGTTTGCATTCAACAATGAAGCCGAAGAAGCGTTTGAAACATTTGCAAAGGCCAAAGAACTCGAGCTATCAATCAATATCGAGACCATCGATTCTGTTTTGGACGCTTGCATTCATATGAAAGATGCTGCCATGGGCGTGAGCATTTTCAATGAGTACGTACGTGGCGACATTATCCCAACAGCAACAACGATGAGTAAAATGGTGGCGTTGCTATGCACACAAGACAACTACGAGGACGCATTTAGATATCTTGAAGATACAAAGGCAATGGGACTCGTACCGCTTCGTGGATGTTATTATCGACTCGTTAAAAAGTTAGCAATCTCTGGTGATGCACGGATTGACATGGCTCTACATGATATGAAAACGTGTGGTTATGATCCTGGTGAATCTCTAGAGCGGTACATTGAAAGGTATATGCCACAAGAAGAAGAATCGCCTGATCAGGAACCCGAGTCTGCAATCAAGCTACCATGATTCCCACTTTTGCCCTCATATTCTCCCATCCCTGTACTATATTCAAACCTTAATATAACATCTTGTAAATAGCTCTTTTATGAAACACTTTATTTACAGTAATCTCTATTGAACGTGTTGATAATGATCTACATTTGCATTCATAAGTCTATACATGTTCCACATTCGATCCTCGGCACGGCTTTTATCTTCGACAATGGTGATCACCTTGCCCTCATTAAAGCCATTCCTTCCTAGTCGTCCTGTACGTCCTGCCATGTGTACATAACTTGCAATGGATGATGGTTCACCGAGAATGAATATGTGGGAAACATTGGGTATATCCATGCCACGTGCTGAAAACTCGGTAGCAACCCAAAGTGGTGGTGGCGTTTGATCATCTTTAAGTTGTGATTTCCAATCGTTATATCCTCGGATGTCAAGAGCATCAACACCAAAAGTACGCAGCTGCCTTATCACGGTGGTTAGGCTGACGGATGAATCAACAAAGAGGATCCCATTATGCACAGATTCGATGTCCAATAATACAGCGATGCTTTCCAATAAAGGGTTTTGTTGTTCCTCATCCTGCGATATAATCTCGTCGTCGTCATCATCATCATCCTCATAAATTGAACCAATGTTTCGAACAGCTCCTTGTGACACGAGAAGACAATGATGCTTTGTATGGTGATTGATCGTCTGTACGTTCTGAGTAATATCAACAAATGCTGGATTGTGCACCCATCCATGTGTACGCATCCAATGTCTAAGGGGTCGATTGAGAGTTGCTGAAATCGCTGCAAGTTGTGGTTTGCGTCCCTGAGCTTTGCTCAAAAGTTGATCCACAAGCACTTGGGTTGGTTTTGGATTAGCGGCTCTCTTTTTCTGTTTCTTCAAAGGTGCATAACGTGTTGGTAGTCGTAAAGCTTGGTCGGCTTCTTCAATGATGATACAATCAAGCAAATGTGTTGGTATCCGATCCATACAATCAACAAGTCGTCCTGGTGTGCCTATCAACGTATGTGGTACTGTCGATGATTGAATGCTTTTGAATGCTGAAGCTGTTGTTGATTGTATCAAGGGCGATGATGAACCATGCAAGGCTCGTATCCAGTCGCTGATTTGTACCGCCAACTCATGATTTGGCACCACGTAAAGCGACCGTAGACTATCATTCGCGTTCCCCTCAGCTGCTGTTGCTAGTCGTGAAGCCAACACAACGGCCATTCCAAATGTCTTTCCAGATCCCGTTCGATCACGCAAAAATAAATCTCGTCCTGACTGCATTAAGGGTATGAATTGCTCTTGGGCGGTCGTAGGTCGATCGACGTGAAATTGCTGCTGTAGATTTCGACACACATTCGTCGCAATACCAAGGTGCTATCGTTAAGATAAGCTATTGTTAGCCATAGTGAGAGGGGTTGGGGATGTCACACACACACACACCTCGAAGGATGCCTTGGAGCTGTACAATCGGGCTTGGATTCTAACAAACATGCGAAAGAGAAAGCTGTCAAATTTAACTCCACATGGCAAAGCTTAAAGTTGTGTTTGGACAACCTTCATTTTGGACTTTCTTCTTCTTACACGCGTTTATTCAAATACCCAAAAGCCCCTATTTGCTCTTCTTGAATGGCTTTGATATTACATTCAACCTCTTTACTATTGCCGACGGTGTCTTTTTGTACGTTGGATGAAATCAGAATGTTATTGAGAAATAATGCATCTTATCCCCATCTCGGAACAAACACATGGAATTATAAAAAGATGATGCACAAATGATAAAGCATTCTGTTTCTTTTGGTGACACCCGTCATTATAGGAAATGCTTCCAAGTGCTTCCATCCTCCTCACCGTGATAGCTGCCTATGCAGTAAACGCTGCTCAAAAATGCGCAGGTAAGCAGCAATGACTTTATCGAACAACCCAACTCTTCCTTCGCTAACGGTCAAATGATGATAGTTACTATGCCGATGGAAGGGACAATATGGAAAACGGGAGAAGAGGTGACCATTGGATGGTAATATGAACTACCTCAAAGCTATCGATCTTCACCTGCTAATGATCTCATTTCTCTTTTACACTTTTAGGAGCGGCGTTGAACAAGACAACATCCCATCTATCACCTTGGCTCAAAAATATGCGGATGGTACATACAATGATGTGGCCAAGCTAGTCACTTCAGTGCCTGCTGCTCCTCGAAAGTATTCATTGAGGGTTCCTTCCAATGTTGTTTCGTCAGATGATTGTATGTTGATGATAATTGTACACCTTTGTATAGCATCGCTCATCATCATTGTGCCGTTATTGTAGATGTTATTCTTCTTGGTGAAGCTCAGGATTTTGATTGTGCATCTGGTGTTTTGGCTATACATAATGGTAGGCATTTAATTTACTGGTGATGCTCTTATAGTGATGGTACATTGACGCGATAACAATAGTTGGCAATGTGGTTCCAGTGGATCAAGTATCATCATCAGTGGAACCCGTAGGAGTTGGCACCACACCACTATCCAAGGCAACTAGCACACAAGCATCCGCCCCCGCCGCCAATACTAACAATGGTGAGGCACATGATGCATCGCCAAAAACACGATCTGCAACAAATCCATCAAGCCAACCCAGCCATTCGAAGCCAGTGGTTGATTCGATGCAAACGAAAGGTCCTTCATCATCAGCAAATGGTATCACGCCAATGTGTGTTTGGGTCACTGCAATTTGTAGTGTTGTTGTAGGATCTATTTTGGACGCTTTATTATAGTATAGATTCTAGCTGCTGTGTCGTTAATGATATTGGCCTTTCTAATTATGTCGTTTAATACAATATTCATTGCTATTACTACTGCTTCAAGCTCTCTCGCTCTCTTTCCTTCAACATTTTCAATCCTCATATCTTTTGCATTACAAACTTTGATACAGTAGTACTCTTGCTTAATCTTTTATTCATGAAAAAGAGCGCATGACGTGCTTGTTATGATGATGGTGTGACACATGCACCAGCAAAAGTGCGTATTATGAAGGAAGATGATATGAATGTATATGCCTAAAACGAAGAACAGAAAAGTCACATGTAAATCTTGGCATGATATTAGTGAACGCTGCGTATTTTGTGTATGTCGATTGGCGACGAATGTGATGAATGGGATGCTCGTATGCTACTAGCTAGCTTTATATCAATGACCTGGTCCTGGTGATCCTGAATTTATCTTCAAGAGTTAGCTACATTAATATTCAACGCAACAGCCAAAGGCCAACAATGATAATATTGCTCATAAGCAACATACAGCAGAAATACCCACGTGGCGTTAATGCCGCTGTCAAAAGCTTGTGCAACGTTACAAGTTCAAAAGGAAAACAAAATAAAAGGCCCTTTTTAACAAGAAACGGATTTCGATAGCATCGCTCCTAGGTGGGCTCGAACCACCAACCTCCTGATTAACAGTCAGACGCGCTAGCCAATTGCGCCATAAGAGCTCCTTAATTTTTCGTTATTGAGTGACATCATATTTTGCGGCCTGCCATAAAAGGCAAATCGAAAGCTATGTAGGAACTTGAATATGCAAAAAAGAGACAACATGGCCGAGTGGTTAAGGCGTGAGACTAGAAATCTCATGGGCTCTGCCCGCGCAGGTTCAAATCCTGCTGTTGTCGATACATTTTTGCCAACCTCAATTAGCTTTTTTTTGTTTTCCAAATTTCTACATCAATGTTACTTTATTGCAGTGTTCTAGCATTGCTACTTTATGGATGCATTGAAATGAATCATAATAACACGTCTGGTGGTAGATTAAGATGTAAAAGTATCAATAGAGTAATGTCGTCCATAGCCAATACGTTTTGAAAAGGGAGAAAATGGTTTTAGAAAAGGTCGCGTGTGTGGACGGTGTTGTCTTTATCATCGCATTGTTGCTGTACGCATGATGTACATAATACATAAAGTCATTGATGAGGCGCTGCTCCAAAGTTGCTATCAATAGGCGTGGCAAATGTCCGCAATTAAAGGTGATAGTTGCCAAGGTCGGGTTCCGTTGCACACTTTCTCTTGAACTCTAATGTCGTTTTTCGATTCCATTCTGGATACTCTTTACAGCGCAGTTGGATGCTGCATCCCTGACGCCAACATCAGCATCAATGGCCGAGCATATCGCATTGTCAAGTTACTCGGCGAGGGGTATGCAACACAATACATAACACGAGACTTGGAATGAGCGTTTCACTCATCGTATGACCATCCACCTTTCACATTGCTTCCTTACCATAGCGGCTTTTCGTTCGTGTATCTAGCCGAGGATGGCTCTGGCAACGTATACGCATTAAAAAAGATCCGGTGCACTCTGGGAACGGAGGAAGCCAAGCTTGCACAACGAGAGGTCGATGTATACCGGTTATTCGAACACGATAACATTATCCGTATGCTGGTAATGTATCAACATTGCTTATCGTGCTATTGACATGGGATCAAATATACTCATCAATCAATTAGGACACTGCGACTGTTACTGAATCTGATGGAAGTACGACAATCTATATCTTTTTACCCTACTACAAGGTGAGTAGAACAAAGGTTGTATATATAGATCATGGATCGGATATGCTAATATGGAAATGGGAATGGGCAACTTAGAAAGGAAACTTGCAAGATGCGATCAACCGGAATCAGCTATACAAGACCCATTTTACAGAGACACAAATGCTCTCCTTGATGCGTGGTGTTTGCACAGCAGTGGAATTCATGCACACCTACAAGATGCCTACTGGTGCTAGAACAAGATACACAGCCAAAAATCCTATCTTGGATGACGATGATACCGACGACCATCAACAGAATAGAGCCTTGTTGAGCTCACAGGGACAACAAGAAACCTCTTCTGGAATCGAGACACATGCACCAGGCAAGGAAGGAGACGTGGTACCATGGGCACATCGTGATATCAAACCTGGGTAAGTTTATGGACCTCGATACATGATCAGCGTGATTAAGTGGATATTTCGATTATAGCAACATTATGCTTATGGATGATGGAGAGACACCTGTGCTCATGGATTTTGGATCAGCTTGCCCAGCCCGTGTCGAAATTCATAACAGGCAAGAGGCATTGAAGCAACAAGTAAGTGGTACATTTGGAAGTGGGTTATACGAATTGAAGACCAATGGTGTTTTTTTTTCTTTAGGATATCGCTGCCGAACACTCTACAATGCCTTATCGAGCTCCTGAACTTTTCGACGTGAAGACAGAGACGACATTGGATGAGAAGGTCGATATTTGGTCGCTTGGGTGTACTTTATTTGCCATGGCCTATGGACAATCACCGTTTGAAGTCAATTTGAATGAGAATGGCGGATCCGTAGCACTTGCTGTACTCAACGCCCAATTCAAGTTCCCGAATGACCCTGAGTATTCCCAAGAATTCAAGGATTTAATCTCTTGGATGTTGACAGCCGATCCCAGCACACGACCCGATATCCACGAGGTAATAACAAAGCTTGTAGATGGAAAGAGAGGAATCGTGTTAACTTTTTGTTTAGGTCTCAACCAAAATCGATTCGCTTCTTAGTCGACGTACAGCTCAAGGCGACGCATCATAGTACGCCACACAGCTAGCTAGACAAAATTATGTAATCTCCTGATGTATTATTCCTGCTTTATCATGCATCTTCCCTTACGCAAACATCAAAAAGACCGGTACATTTGTCACTGCATGTATTCTTCTCTTTGTATGATAAGCTTTTGAATGATCATTACATGCGAAAGTGCAATTTGATTGAGGATGGTGATATACGACATTGATTTGCATGGGGATAGAGATCGTGATGGATATGGTTGATCGGTCATACTGCACACCGTCTAATGCATAACGTGGACTTTTAGCATCTCCCAAAAGGTGGTTTACGACATGCACTATAACGTAGATGATGGTTTGAAACATGTATTCACCTCTCATTATCGTCATCTACTTTGGGAACACCTCCATACCCATAAGTCATGGATAGACGAACACTCATCCCACCGCTTTGTTAGCCATCATTCAACTTTTCCAAACACATGGTCACCAAGCACATGATATCGAAATGATTGTGAGCTGCATTAAATTTGGAGCGTTGTCATGGATTAAAGTATGGGAGCCGATGTTGCTAGGTAATTTTAATGATCAAAGGAGGTATTATGGATCTAAAATAGATAGTAGAAATAAAAAGCACATCAAAGGATGGGAAATGGAGGAAGAATGATGGCGTCCAATTCTCTCAGAGTGCAAATTTGAGCCCACACCCGCTCACAAAGATACCAGCGGATCCTTTTCGACTTCTTGCTTAAACGACTGTAACCATGGTAATCACTCGAACTCTCGCATTTGGGTATTCTGGTGCGAGCCATTGTGCCAAAGCATAGTTGAACGCCATTCACTCAACACTAGTGTTTTTCTACGCGTCTCTTGTAGTCGAAAACTTCGAAAATGACCAGCCTGATCAACTACAGGCTACGGATTACGTTGTCGGATTCGCGTACATTGACGGGACAGATGCTGGCGTTTGACAAGCATATGAATCTGGTGCTCGCCGATTGTGAGGAATTTCGCAAGATTAAGCCCAAGTCGAAAAAAGCAGAGCAAGATGAGCTTGAACAGAAACGGACGCTTGGTTTGGTTATCTTGAGAGGCGAGACGATTATCAGCATCAGCGTTGATGGCCCTCCTCCACCACAAGCACAAGAATCCAAATTGCGAGGACCTACAATGGCAGCAGGCATGGGTATTGGTAGAGTAAGTAATCATGACGATGGAATGGGATGATACGCCATCATTGACTTGTAGATACTAATATCATTGTTGTATTATAGCCTGCAGGTCGTGGCCTTCCCGCTGCTCCACCTCCAGGCGCTCCAATGACAGGTTTGGCAGGTCCTGTAAGAGGTGTTGGTGGTCCATCTCCACAGGTAAGAGGATTACAAGCATTGGATTTAGGATATATAGGATATGAATATGGAACCAACATGGGCTCTTTAGATGATGCAACCTCGTCCTGGAGGTATCCAAGCACCTCCTGTTGCTTATGGTCGTCCACCTATGCCACCAGGTCAAGGAGTAAGTGCATTAGATTGTCATTGATACTATAAGGATCAGCATAATAATGCTTGTATTCTTTAGCCTCCTCCAGGTTTCCGACCACCACCAGGAATGCCACCACAAGGATTTAGGCCACCACCACCTGGCTTCAGACCACCCCCTCCACCTGGCGGCACTCCACCACAGGCCTTTAGACCTGGCATGGTAAATGATCATTTTTACAAAGGGATTCTATCCACATTCAAAGAGGTTTAACTCTCATCTATTATAGCCACCACCACCACCAGGTTATCCTCCTCAAGGTAGCCCTGGAGGATATGGTCGACCACCACCACCTCAGTAAACTGAACGCAGTTGTACACCATATCGAATCGATTGGGGTTCATATTCTCGATGCACACATGATGACTTTTGGAAAACATTGGATCAACACACAAACACGATTAAAAAAGCTCTCAATAAACCGCTACATTTACAGTATCCACATGGCAACGTTGTTATACTTTCTTTTTCCCTCTGATACATAAAATTGAATTTGAATTCATCTGTTTCAAAAGAGGTGGCTGGATGGATAGGGGGATTGGATGATGGGTGGCTTTTATGAAAATTTTGTCAATGTCCGCTTGCAGTATTTCAAGAGAGGCTCGCCGACTTTGTTGATGGTTCTTCCTCTTTCGATTTATTAGCAATGGATCACCAAGTATGTAACAACAAGCCTTTTTATGATACCAAACGTTAGATTTTTAACCCTATCTTCTTCACTATAGACCGAGAAGGCCTACCAGAAGCAACGCGGTATCTTCCAAAACTCCAAGAACGCCGCTAACAAGAAGCGCTGGTTCAAGGATGTTGGTAACGGCTTCAAGACCCCCAAGGCTGCCAAGTACGGCTCCTACATTGACAAGAAGTGCCCCTGGGTTGGTGAAGTCAACATCCAAGGCCGTATCTTGACTGGTGTTGTCATCTCCACCAAGATGAAGCGCACCGTCATTGTTCGTCGCGACTACCTTCACTACGTCCCCAAGTACAACCGTTACGAAAAGCGTCACAAGAACATCCCCGCTCACTTGTCTCCTGCTTTCGATGACATTGCTGTTGCTGAGTAAGTACCATTTTCCTTTTTTTATTTTCACTGTGGCCCATTTCTTCCGCCACGCCTTGTCCTTGGATCAAATTTTTTTCAGAGTGACGGGGTGGAGTGGGTCTTGTGGGGGTGTATGTATGCATTTGCCTATGCATAAGATGCCTTCACTTTTTGTGGACAGAGGTAGTTGGTAAGGTGGCGGCTTACCAAGCCTTTGACGTCCAATGCAATCATGCTGACCAAAAAAAAACTTTTAGGGGTGACATCGTTACTGTTGGCCAGTGCCGTCCCCTTTCCAAGACCGTTCGTTTCAACGTCCTTAAGGTCCAAAAGGCTAAGGCTGCCTCCAAGCTCTTCGAGAAGTTCTAAATTGTTTAGCATTTCAATAAACAATTGCTTGTAAGAGCGTTTAGTCGCATACATATATACATGATAAGATTAGCTCCACGTGATATAGACTGTGATGGATGTTCAGGGTTTTTAGACGAAGTTTATTAAAGGGGATAGTACTACGTAGATAGATAGTAGGTTATATGCATTGTAAAATGAGCATGCATAAGCAGGGAGTGTGTATGATGAAATGAGGGGTGACCTTGATGTAGAACATGAGATCTCATTCGTTTAGCTTTTTAACAAACAGGGCAAGAAAAGGGGTTTGTGGAAGGTGAAAAGCAAACATCAAGTTGACTCAATGGTCTCCAAGTACAGTGGTTGGGGATGTAAATGACCACGTGCAACGTGCCAAATGTCCGTTACAGGAAGAGCAACAATTTTATCCAAAAGATGATTTTGTTGTTGACTAGCGGCAAAGCACAAAGGATGTAGGTCTAGTGAGCATAGTATAGGATGTTGCCATAGAGATGGTCGATGCGTTTGTACATGTATAGTTGCGATAGTAATCATGCAAATGCAAACGTGGGGGATAGTCAGGTACAAAGGTGACGGATTGTATGTGATGGGTTCGGTTGCACAAGTACCCATCTGGGCCGCGTGAGCGCGTGCTAGCAAAGTCCGATGGATGCAAAGCACCCAAGACAACAGCTCCTTTACTGAGAGAGAGCGACACTTTTTCTCTTTTCTTCTTCTTCTTCAAGTGGTTGTTATTTGATACACGTCGTTTATTTTCGCTTTCCTTTTACGCACCCTACAAAACGGACATAATATTGTAAACCTGTTTTCACCAGGTAAACGCCATGGCAAGCTCGATCGAGGAAGCGTGCCTGACAGCCTGGATCTGCTAGTGTGATTCAATCAAGCACCACCATGGCCGATACTTGTTACACTCCCGTTGTGAGACTACCGAAAAGCAAAAACAGCTCTTCCTCAACCCAATCTATCAGCAACTGTCAAGATGCACAGGTGGACCTAAAGGACATGATCGTATCTGAGACATTGAATTTCGATGGTCTTGCAGGTGCTATCAGTGAGATGGATCTACACAACCTTTTGCAAGCTTATCCACCCCTCGAGTATGTATACTTTTCAATAAGAAATGAATACTCAGCTAATGTTCATGTAGGGTTGTAATTCATCAGGATGGTGACAGTGGTTATCTACGATTCTCAGACGCCAAAACAGGTATGCAACCTTGTTATTGTCGATGATAGTTCATGTAATTTGACTTTTTCTATCCCCTTCTTTCCCCTGCATCGCATACACAAAAAGCGGATCGAGTGTATTCGTTGTTCAATGGTTTCACTTTTCCCAACAATAGCAGCAAGTTGCAAATTCAAATATCAGGCGATGGTAGTAATCATGAGCATGAGCCCAAGGGTCCTATTCTTGAAGTCAAGGGTCTTCCTAATGGGATCGACAATGATGGATTATATGATCTATTCCGACCATTTGGGCCATTGAGTTTATGCAAGCCGATAGTAATAGGCAGGACTTTTCGAGGAACAGCATTTGTACAGTATTTCTTTCAAGCTCATTCGGACGAAGCACTAGATCACCTGGTAAGTTGTACAAGCTTTTTACCCAGCAGTAGCATCAACATAGCACCCAGCTGATCACCTGACAAATTCGATAGAATGGCAAGTCATTGGATGATGGTACCACACTGTAAGTTCCCTTCTTTTACTTTAAGGATTTGGAAGGGGGGAAAGGGAGGAAATGTAGGAGAAGTAAGATAACCACGGGCATCGGGTATAGTGTGTGCGTGTAATGTACAATGCATTGGGATGATGAAGGGGTCAACACAGGAAGAGGAGGAGTCTACGAGGATATACGTATGTGCGTGCTTGTGGGTGTGCGGGTGTGCGTATGAGTGTGTGATATGAAAGGAGAGCACAAAAAGAGGTTGTCGCTATTTTTCCTTTAACTATCTTTCTTTTTTTCTGTAGCTCGGTTGCAGCGTTTATGCCATCCAAGATCCGTAACACCGACTATCAACAACAAGGAAGCAAGAATGTAAGTGTGAGTGACTCTGAGAGAGAGAGAGAGAGTGTGTGTGTATGTATGTGTGTGCTGTACAATAGCTTTGTTTACCAAACAAAGTTGCTTGCCCCATTGCAGCGCCGTCTCACTCACTTTTTTCTTTTTCTCTCTTGTGCATGTATCTCTGGTACTTCATGTTGCTGTCCCTCAAACAACAACAGTCTGCAGCCTCGCTTGCTCCTTCTTCTTCACTCGACAAGTCAGAGTCCTATGTCGATTATATGAACTTGTACATCAAGAACCTGGAACCTCACATTGACAATGACGCTCTTTTCCACATGTTCAGAAGATTTGGTCACATCGTCTCGGCAAGAGTCATGAGCAACCCTGTTACTGGGCAGTCAAAAGGTTATGGTTTCGTTAGCTACGACAAGCCCGAGGAAGCTGCTGCTGCTTTACACGAGATGAATGGAAAGATACCTCCCAGTTGTATGAAGCCATTGATGGTTGCCTTTCATGAACCCAAGAAACCTCGCCAAGAGAAGCATCAACAGCAACAGCAACATCAACATCAACAACAGCATCTTGGTACATCTCCTATCCCCAACGCGTTACAACCAGTGCAGCATCAACATCAGCATCAACCATTTATGAGCCCGATTGGAGCACCGGTGCGTATTCCACCTCACGCTGCTGAATATGCGTCAAATGCCATGTCGTCAATGGCAGGTAGCACAGGCATCACTATGCCATACGACAATCGCCATCCATATGACATGACGACTACTACAGCTACTACTACATCTGCAAACAGTAAGACATCATCTTATCGGTTGCCCTGGAGATCGTTGGCATGGTTACTAATATTAAATTATCCCCTGCAGTCCCTTCCCAAATGAATGGTTTGGGTATTGATAGCGTGGATCAGATTGCTCTCAACATTAAGTCTATTGGGCAAAAGCGCCCATCCCCTCCTCAACAAGTGCATCGTAAGGCAAGTAAAGAGGCGTGAAGGATATGTCAAACATGATCTAATATACGCGCATCTACAACAGTTTTCTGCAGCTGAGTCCAACTTTGGACAGCATCCCCTGCGTCTTTCTCCACCTTTCTCCACCTCGCCACTTTCTGGTGTGAGCAGCACGGGTCCTTCATTGGCTTCTTTAGCTTCGGGAATCAATGTACAACCTCGTCCACCCAACATGCCACCTCCACAACAACAACAACCGGATTATAGAACAGCCAATGGTCGCCCAACTTTGAGACGTAAAGGCTCACTTGAGTCAGTCAGCTCCATCATGACAGAGTCAAGTGCTTCGGTGCAGCGTCAAAGATTAGTGGAGGCTGTCATGCGATGCGGTGATTATGCCAAATCGGTCAATGATATTGTGGATATGCTGCTTACTCTGAAACGTAAGGAGCGTTCACTTTGTTTATTCAACCAAGACTTTTTACGTGAAAAGATCGAGTTGGCTTTGATTGCATTGGAGACATTCAACGAAGAAGAGCAAGCTCAAGAAGAAGAAGGAAACGATTATGCTCAAAATGTGTAAGTGTTATCTTTTTTCAGGGGAACAAAAGCAAACAAATCACTAAAATAGAATTAGGCCTGGTGTCATGGATACCGATATGAGCCCTATCAAGGCACCAACGATCCCCACTCGTGTGTCCAAAGCTATTCCCATTGTCGCTCCTCCTCCAGAATCACCAGCAACGAAAAAGCCAACTAGTTCTTCACCACCACAACAACAGCAACCAACCACTACCACCCCACGAACGACATCTGCAACCAATGGTTCTACTACTACAACTTCTAACAACACCACTACCACCACCAGCACCAGTAATAACAATGATGATAAAACAGATATCGAGGCCTTGTTGGCATCATTGGAAGGAAAACCTGTGCATGAGAAGAAACAACAACTAGGTGATCGCCTATTTCCACTCGTCAAGGTAATGCATAATCATCCTAGCTCCTATCGTTTGCAATATTAACATTTCTTTGTCGCTCCTAGGCAACTGGTACGAAGCAAGCACCCAAGGTCACCATTCGGCTGTTGGATAGCATTGATCTCCACGAGCTGGCTCATCTCATGTATGACAAGGATAAGTTAAAGGAACGTGTGGAAGTGGCCTTTGCGTCATTGAAGTGAGCTCTCTCTCTATATATTCCCCCATCAAATCTTTATATATCCTCTTTTTATTCTTCAATCTCTTTAGTAATCTACCATTGTTCCATTTCTTTCCCTCTCTCTCTCTCTCTCTCCTTTTGATATACTTGTAAACGCTTTTGGAGGAAAACAAGACCAGACACGTTGTGCCCATTTTAGGTGCATTGGATCATATCATGTAACATCTGATGAATGAAGCTTGGTGTATGTGTATGGGAATTTGAATGATGGGAGGATGATGCATAACGACAATGATAGGGATGCGCTTGTATAGGGTGCCACCATTTAATTAAATCGGCACCCGACATTGATACTTTATAGGCAAGGCAATAGTGTATCATGGCAACATACGAGGAGGACAATGGAGATAGCATTGAAATGGGTAAAGTTTATCATTTTGATATGCAAGGAATACAATATGCACGCTTAGATTGCAGGTATATAGATTCAAGATGTAGGATCTCTCTCTGTGTGTGTGTAACGAGCGTTAGGCTTTTCTTGTTTCTTTTCATGTAATGGACGACGATAACACGACCGTTTTGCCTATCCAGTTCCAGTTGCTCTACAACTATGATATCAGCACTGAATATGACAGCCTACGTAAACGCAAAACCCATATGCATCCAGCATTGGCGTGTGAGCTTAATGGAGTACGCATCTATCGACTCATCGACTACAACTTGGAGCAACATTACGTTTCAGCTGGGCAATTGTGGCGAGCATGTGGGTTGACAATAACTGAAGGGCTCTTTCTCTTTGACCTTCGTGTCTCTGACTATGAGGTGGACTTTTTAATACCCCATTTTCCTTTTTGCGACGTGTGGGTTACGGTGACCAAGGCACGACATATGGCAAGCATCCTCAACGTTGAAACTGAGCTAGAGCTCTTGTGCCTGGTAGATCACGATCCCATATTTTCATCCGACAATATCACCCGTGGAGAATTGGTTCACAACTGGAAAGTCGAAGCTATCCCCAATGCATTGTATTCAACACGTGCACTCCTTGAAACGCCTGTGAATATGCCAATCGAAAGCTTGACAGGGCAACGAAAGATCAGAACACAAATCTCACGTAATCGACAGCCTGGGATGGTGTGCAAGGATAGACTTGAGACTGGATTAGTGCGGCTCGCCATAGCAGCGTATGAGGCATTCATATCTTCATCTTATCAACATCACGAGGAATCATCACATTCGACATCTGAAGAGGGCATTACCACACAAGCGGACGCATTATGGGATGTCTTTCAAGGCCTACTATTCGATTTTCAGAATTTGACATTGCAAAAACAACAAGATGGACGTGTATTTCAAGACAGCATGATGATTGGGAACATGCCTCTTCGACGTGAATACCTCCGTCAAGGCAATGCATTACAACGTGTGTATGTGGCAGGCATGACTGAAAAATTATTCGCTGAATTACAACGACGGCCCTCCCAACCACCTCCTCCTCCACAACAATCACAACCACAACCACCAACACCAACAGCAGCAGCACATGTAACATCTCCACATGCATCCACACCAACACCTGCAGAGGAAAAGCATTATCAACACCATCCAACAACCACTACTTCTTCCAACAGCCTGTTAAGTGATCCCCATATCATGCTGCATGATCGAATGGATACTCTTGAGCAAGAATTATACCGAATGAAACGGAAGGCCAAGCGAAGAGCAGATGATCTTCAACTTGAGGTTCAAGAATTGCAGCATCAGGTGGTCACTCTTGAAACATGGAAAACGAGAAATGAGCGATCAAGAAAGAGTGAGCGACTTTGGATCTTAATGGCCGCACTTTCAGTCATTGTTACGTTGTGGATGTTTGGCTAGTTGTATGACACAGCAATCCATAGCTTGATATGTACATAATCCATTTATATTTTTATAGTTGACTTTTATCCTAATAAACCTATTTCCTGACAATTGAAAATGCACCATCACCAAAGTACTTTTCGTTCGCCTTTTTGACACGTTCGGCTGCTGCTGTGGGATCAACAAGTTCAATGCCTTGTACAGGGGTAAATGCAAGTGAAGAGGCCAAGCCAGAGGTAGTGCCAGCTGTATTGAGAGATCGTTGCTGCTGCTTGGGTGCCTTGACCTTGTTGCGAGGATCAGCAATCGAAGCACGAATCTTGCCCACTTGCTTGGTGGTCATACCGAGACCTTCAGTCTCATCACCATATTCCACCTCTTCCTCTGCTTCTCCAAACGCCATACGATTACGAGCAGCACGAAGTTCAGTCATAGCATAGGCTTCCTTTTGTCGTCGTACACTAAGAAAGATTACTACATTAGCATGCATGCATGTATGAAATCCATCATCGCTTACCGTTTACCACCACGTCGTTTCTTTGGTCCTTCATCAGGTACTGGCAAAGCCTTAATCACTTTGGTCGGTGGAGGCTCTTGTAGCTTCTCGATCTTTTGATCAATGTCGTTGCGGAACTTTTGACCAGCTTCACCTGTAATAAACAATATATGAGTATGATGATGATAACCAAAACACACACACACAAATCATGTTTCTTACCACTGGGAGATGACTGAGAAGCATCAATTCTTGCTGAAAGAGCACATTTTGCAGCGATGATTTTGGTAACCTTGCGTCTCAAATCAGCCGGCACCGATAAGACAAGAGGTGATGATATAATGTAACCCGTGTTTCGCTCCATGCTTGCTCTCGAGAATCCAGTATTCGTCTTTTTGGTATTTCCCAAGACCTATTCCCGATAAAAGTTAACTCACAATCCTCCCATTGGAATTTCTTTGATCCTTTACCTCGATATTGCATGCGGGAATCTTGCAAAATGCTGATAAACCACCAGCAGCTGTGAGTAATTTGGCAGCAGTTGAACTACCGACGACATTGGAAAGGTTGGGAGCAATCATTGTCATTCGAGATTCGACATAGTTGATGATCTAAAAAGAAAACATCAGCATGAGACGCTTGAGAGAGAGAGAGAAAGAGAACCCAAATAGACCTACCGTTCTCTTTGCATTATCCAATTCGAATGCCACATCACAGGCTTCCTCGGTCACTTTCCATTCTTCAGGTGATAATTCCTTTCCATTGCTGGTAGTCGCTGTCACCGTAACAACCATCACTGTTGCTGATGGCAAGATGGAACGTAAATCAACCTTGGTGAGATCTTTTTCATTGCCGATTGCCTTGACTGTGCGAGCATAATCCATGGGGTTCAAAATAAGAGACTCCAATTCAGGGAATCGTGGTGCATAGTGATCTCGAATAAACTATATATACACAAGGTTAATCGTCATCTTGTAATTCACATACACCACTCATAAACATACCTTGTGAACCGCTTGGATCTCTCCATCGATATCAGCTGTCATACTGTTAGCGTTGACAATCAATTGGTATTCCTCGTCTTCTTCAGTAGGTGCGTTGTTGAGATCCGCCGCCGTGCGATCACGTGATTTAAAGTGTTCGATACGCTACAATAGCAAGACGTCAACGATTTAGTTATACAAGTACAAAAGTGTTAGCGATTACCTTTACTCACCTCCAGAATGTCTTTTGTTTGCTTGCTTTGAAGGAATTTGGTGACCTTGTGGACATTGTCTTGGTGACCAGTGGAAGGTGAAGCATCGTTGGTTGATCGATCGGTGTCTTTTGTTGCTTCACCATCTTCATTTATATCCATAGCGTCTTGGTCTTGACTTTGTTCATTTTGGCGGTCGTCATCGCTGTGAACGGATTGCTCGTCTGAAAAGTCGAGATCAGCTGCAAGTTCGTCTGCTAGGGAAGACATGGCGCAGTGTGTAATTTCTGAGGAGGCCCTAAATTTAAGCCGTTCAGCTCGGAGTCCATCCTCCCAACAAAGAGCACCATGGCAACAACAACAATGGCATCTTGTGTTATTATCCCATCCGATTGTCAATAAAAGGAACTCGTATGATAGCATCTATTTTCATAGTATTCTTCTTCTCCGTATGATGAACTCGTACGCGATTTGCATAGTAGTAGTACTGGTGATGATAGCTGATGGAGCGTGGCACCACTATGATGTAATCTTTTGTTGTAGACAACATGCTGCAGCTGTGTAAATAGGACACATTTGAGATGTACATATGAACAAAAAGGACGTTCTTTGTGGCTTTGGATTGATGGTGTACTATCCATTGCTAGCCACATGCTGCCATCGCATATGTCGTATGTCATCATTGATTGGATGTTGATTTACAATCTTGAGAATAATGGTGGTATCTCAAGGGCGATGTGTCAGTGACATGACCGCCGGCCCTCTGAGTATCATTCGTATTCATGCAAATAATGCTTTTGGATGCGATATGAATGATAATCCTCGGAATTAATTTATTCTCATTGGATTCCAGAATTGACATCTTTGGCATCAACCATGTTTTCTCAACATTGCTGTGGCATTGGGTTTCTATGCATGGGAGAGGAAAACAGGTGACTAAACAATGGGGTGGGAGGTGGGTGGGGTAACAGCCTCCGCAGCGCTGGGTCCTCATGCAGATGCGTGTAATAGCACCGCGGACAATGCTTCTTCGCCTTCTTCAATGTCAGCACCGACATGCACCCATCGAAAGTTATGCTCCACGCGTGTTGTCATTCGTCATTCCACAGAGTTCCTTCCAAGTTCTCGGTCAAAGAGAAATAGGTGAGTACCATTGCCACTTTGTATACCTTTTCTTTTCCTCGTCAACTCACCGCCATTGCCAATAGTGACGCTGTTGATCCCGGTTTATGTCGCCATGATACCTCGGAAGGAAGCTTCACCACCGCTGATGCCATGTTGCCACAAGATTACCAACTAGACGATGAAGATAGAACGTACGACGTGTCGAAACGGCTTCCCAGCATACAATCATCCACGTCGTCTTCTGCTGATACAGCTCGCGGGGTTGATCAACGAGATAGCCAACAGCAACAACAACATGACACTAGCAAGCTACGAGCATTGAGTTGGCGACCATCAGGGATTGCATTTATACCACCACCTACCACGCAAAGTCGTAGCATGGAGACGAGCATTGTCAAATGTGATGTACTTCTATGCAAGCGGAGCCTACGTTCTCAAAAAGCAGATCATCCTACTCAATATGAGGCATCACGCATGGTTGAGGATTGGCGTCAAATGCAAGTAGAACTTACGCATCAATCATTGGCACTTTATTCATTTCCTGCAAGTATCTAAAACATCGAGGAAAGATATCTATGGGGCATTATCTAACAACATAGATTTTTATAGCCACTGATATGGCCCGATCGATGGCTTGAGCATGATTTGAAAATACCTCGAATCACGCGTTTTGGACTCCTTTCTCCATTGGATTACACCTTTTTCGTATGCTATCAAACACCTGGTGGAACGGTGGACACGTTTTCATTTCGTGCTCTTTCTATCACTGTTTGCCGTGAATGGTACATGGCTCTTTATCGCGTGTTGCCTGATCAAGTCAAGCCTCTTTGTTCGCCTTGGTGCGAGGTGCATATACCCTTACTCGAATTGCGAGTGAAATTGCCGTTGTGGAACGAGGATGGTGAAATCAGATACGACATTACCTTGCAAAGTGTACACAACGCTGTGATATCCGTACTGCAACAAGATGAGCATTGGAAAAAGTTGATCGACTCGGGTTTCAAGAATAGCGATCAGCTTGGCATGTGCTGGTCGAGAGGCAATAGGACTGAATGGGTGTATTGGAATCGAAGCTTGACAGACCCTCAAGAAAGGATCGATCTTGTTATATCCCCGCAGCATATTGAACAGGTAATTGCAACAGCAAGTTATCATTCATCAAGATCAGATGCACTCACATGTTGAGATTAGACGCATAGACTTGAATTACGACATGTTGACCACGCTCCCAGCAACATATGGTTAGAGGATGATTCGAAGCTGCAGGTAAATTATCGATGGAAAGTAGTAAGGTAAAGGATCATCATTGACAATGAATGCATCAACAGGAACCTCTCCCCATTGAAGGATACTTGACACGCTTGACAACATTCACCGGCAAGCCCTTGTCGAATGCACTAGGACGATTGGTTCGGCGAAGTCACTATTTTGCATCTTTCGACCAGTATTTGTTCATAGTCCCACACGATGCCAAGATACCACCCATTGAAAGCAAATGTCACGTTCGTGAAACAGCAGAGTGCGTTTTTATTTCATCGATTCGGCAAGATCAGCTAGACTTTGAGGAGCATCATCGGCGATTACAGCTTATCACATCAGCAGCCCATGTGATTGATTTGACAGAGATTTCCTATGTTCGTCGCGTCTTTGATGATGAAGAGGGTGAGGCTTCATTGCCTACAAGGACGACCACCTATTATGCCAGCATTATTCAGCAAGAAGAAGGAGGAGAAGAGGAAGGACGTCAACTTTCTCGGGGTCAAACTTGTATCGAAATTGTCATGGTGAATGGGATGATTCTAAAGTTCAAGGTCAGTTGTTGTGTTTTGCACGTATTATCAGGTGATGGCTGAGACTCAGAGTGTGTTTGCAATTATCGTTAGCCCGAATCCAGTGATCTAAGTGATACGTGGGTGTCGTACCTTACCAAGCTGAGTCTGTATTGGCGAGCACGCAAAGAAGCTGAAAGAGACATTCATGCAAGTGAAGATTTCGGGGAACTACTTGACGATGAATTCAGATTGGTGATGACGGGAGAGGAGAAAGGCAAGGAGTTTCATCGTAAGCCCGAGGTGGACACACGGATATGGAACATTTGCTCGTTTGAGGGGTGTCGAGATATCGTGGTAAGGATGATGATAACAATGTTGGCTTTTTATTCATGCAACTGGTTTTACTCACGTGCCCATGTTCAACCCCCTTTGTTATTTTAGAAAGCAGGGATTATGTACTTTCAACCTCGGTCACGCGGGACGTTTTCACAAAAGATGTTTATGCTGACGGCAAATGGCTGGATCATCTATTACAACATGTTTGAAAGAGAGCCTTTATCTTGCCAACCATTGAAAACAGCCGTACATGAGCGTAAAGGCCAATTGGATATCAATGATTGCTATGTATACTCGTCTCCTTTTGAAGTGGAATCGCCTTGTCGTATTTATTCAGATGGTGGGATCAGTGCTGACTCAAGCGAAGAATGCCTATTCTCACTGTGGAAACCCGAACGTCGGCGCGTGTTTAGTCCCAAGCGGCAACGGATCACTGTGTACAAGAACAATAAGCAATTTCTTCAAGAGAAGGGTGAAACATGGCAGTTTTTAGCAAGGAATCGGCATGAAAAGGAAGAATGGGTATCAGCTATCAATGTAGTTATTGAGCGATTACTGCGTGGACAGGAGTAAATGAATGATGGGGCTTGGACAAGAATCATTTGTTGTTATAATGTTTAGTGTATTAGTGTTCATAAGATAAAAAGCATGATTAGAGAGTAAAAAAACATTGCACCAAACGCCACTGTGTCTCTCCTGCTGCCGTGTGGACAAAAAGTGCCCCCCTATCTTGCAAGCTTGATGTTGCCTGTGTAACAGAATTGCTCTTTTTATTTCTTTTTGCTTTCACTTGCACTACCCATAGGGAGGTAACCTACGTAAGGAGGGGGTTGGATGAAGTAAGTAACCCAACGCGTCTTGTTTCAATCACACGATCCATATCATGTTGCTTACAACAAGTGGTGATTACCTTGGAGATGGATTATAGAAGAATAAGATCGGTGCGAAAAACAAGACCAGACGGTCGGTGTGTGTTGGATTTGCGTGTAACATGAAAAAAGATGAAAACTCTGTAGCACACGCACACATATCCTCAAATCCACTCATACTCATACACACACACACACATACACACACCCACCCAATTCACCCTACTTCCTTAATTCTCTTTCTATACTTTTTTCCCCCTTTTGCTGTCTCCTCACTGGTCTTAGGCCCCCTCCTCCCCCAACAAGGCAGATTTTATTTTGATTTTGATTTCTCACTCTTTCTCTCTTTCTTTCTCGCTCTTTGGCCCCCCCTTATTTTCGCATCTCCCTTTCCTCGATGAACATGAATGACAGCGACATTCCGGAGCGCATTGCAGCTGCACGACGAGAGGCTGAAGCGCTTAAAGACCGAATTAAACAACGCAAAGAAGCGCTTGCGGATGCAACATGCAAGTGGATGATAATAATATGATAATCAATGTTTGAAAGGCGCGGCTGATTTTAGTCATATCTTTTTGCAGTGCAGGAAATGGCAAAAGATGTAGAACCACTACCACGCATAGTGATGAAAGTGAGACGTACCCTCAAGGGCCATTTGGCCAAGATTTATTCGATGCATTGGGCAAGCGATCGTCGACACGTTGTATCAGCATCACAAGACGGCAAACTGATTGTGTGGGATGCCTATTCTTCTAACAAGGTACACGCTATCCCCCTGCGTTCCTCATGGGTCATGACTTGTGCCTATTCTCCTTCCGGTAACCTCGTTGCTTGTGGTGGTCTCGATAATATCTGCTCCATTTATAATCTAAGAACTCGAGATGGCCCTGCTCGTCCTGCTCGCGAATTATCAGCACACACCGGTTACCTTAGTTGTTGTCGCTTCATCAATGACAGGCAAATTCTTACGAGTTCAGGAGACAAGACGGCAATGTTATTCGATATCGATGCCGGTGTCAAGACTGAAGAATTTGTTGATCATGCCAATGATGTGATGAGGTATATCTTTTATGTCAATACTTGTTGTCGTCAATGCTAATCTCTTTTATATAGCTTGTCATTGGGTCCCAATCCAAATGTGTTCGTCACTGGTGCTTGTGATTCAACAGCCAAAGTCTGGGATATCCGTACAAAGCGATGTGTACAAACTTTTGTTGGTCATGAATCAGATGTTAACGCCGTGCAGTTCTTCCCTAATGGTGACTCTTTTGCAACGGGCAGCGACGACAGCACTTGCAAGCTCTTTGATATACGAGCCGATACAGAACTTTGCACCTATACACACGAATCCATCCTTTGTGGTATCACATCGATCGATTTCTCGGTTTCAGGAAGATTGCTATTTGGTGGCTATGACGACTACAATTGCAATGTCTGGGATACGCTCAAAGGTGAACGAGTGGGTGTCCTTGCAGCTCACGAAAACAGAGTTTCTTGTCTTGGTGTTTCAGGAGATGGCATGGCTCTTTGCACTGGTAGTTGGGATGCAACTTTGCGTGTGTGGGCCTAAAAAAGTCATGCTCAATCACTGTACTTTCCATGCTCTCATCAACTTTTATTCAACAATGGCTTATCCTCATCATCGTTCTTCCATTTCTTTTGCTATCGTTTCCATTCTTCCTGTAGTGTACTTTCGATTTTATCTTTCTCTCTCTCTTTCTTTCCCCTACCTCTCCCTCTCTCTCTCTTTTTTTGTTTCTCGTTCTCTATATATACAATTCACAATCCACAATACCCTAGTAAAAGTTCATCACAAAAAAAAGAAGCCGATCGTATTATTAGTATTTAGTATTATGGGTCTAGCTATACTATGGCACGTTGTCTATTCCTTTGTGATGCCACAATTTGAGTAATAAGTGCAATCGGACTCTGATCCATGTACAATGCGAAGCACACTAATAGCAGAATGTGCACAATCGTATGTCGCAACGCCATCTATGCCATCAACAACAATAAGTATCCCATCACAAAGCGAATTGGTAGAGAGAATTTTACCTTGACAATCCATCGCCATGGCCATTGCCCAGCACGTTTCTTTTTCCTTGGTGCAGTGGATGATGATGAAGGGGCTGTGTTGGTAATATTGGCACGTAATTCTTGCTTGAGTCCATCGATACGTTCATTCAATGCAATGATTTCAGTTTCTAACGTTTCGAGAGCACGTCTTGTTGCTGGACCAAGTGACACAACCGATGTATTAGTGGGATGGGTGCCTTGTTGATCTTGTTCTTGTGTGGCGGTTATATTAGATCTTGCTGGTGACGAGGGATTGGAGACAAAAGATGAAGGTGCTGTTGGATAGGATGGTGATGATGATGATACAAGACGATTGAATGATTCTGGTCTGTGTTCCAAAGGAGATGTGGGATCAAAAGAGGGTGTAAGTAAAGAATCACGACGTTGTTGTTGCTGTTGTTGTTGCCGTGGATCAATGTCTTTGGTGGATGAAGAAACCCATGGATTGACATTAGGATCAAGTATCACTGAATCATCATCTCCTCCTTGTAAGAGTACGGGTGGTCGTCTAATGCGATTTGAAATAGCTGAATTGGGTCGACCGAGTGGCGTGGATGGGGCTGTGATGGCTGATATTTGTGTCGATGCAGCTGATGGTGGTCGAAGGGATGATTGTCGTCTTTGATAATATTGACGTTGCTGCTGTTGGATGTCTCGCAAATAAGCACGCTCTTCTGCTATGACACTTGATTCTACATGCATACCATCTTTTGTTAACTTGACATTCAACAAAGATAGTCATTTTACCACTTGCCTTCATCATCCTCGTATTCATCATCATCCTCGTCATCATCACTGCTTTCTTCTTGTATAGATGATGGTTGCATTGTGGCAAATGCTTGAAGGATTTGTTGTGCCTGAGCTCGACTGGATGGTTTTCGATAAGCCTATGAATCAATGAGTATTCCACCTAGTTTGCTATACATCTCAATAAGCATACCTCGGACGCTACTCGTAAGAATGCTTCTACGTAACGATGCTTGGCTTCCAGTGTACTAAGGCCTTCAAGCTGCTTCCAGGCATCCCTATTATTATGAATCTATAAGCACATGGAGTGTCCAATTGAAGCCATGCCTACCATTTGGCGCGTCCCACGACATCGAATATGCCAGGTCGTTGAGTATTCACATTGCCAGTCGAAGCTTGCTTGAAAAGCGCATACAGCTATAGAATCATCGTAAATGAATAACCTCCATTGGAGTGTTGGGTAATAACAAAGAGAGAGAGAGATTACCTCCAGTCGTTGATCCTTGGATGGTTCAAGTGAGGAAGAGTAATGCTGTACGATGCTTAGAGCCTTTCTAAAGCGTTGGTGGACAAAAGCTTTTGAATAGTGAGAAGGGATAGTGGACATGACCAAGTGAACAACCCCACACTGCACAAAGGAGGGATTATGGCCCACACTCTCAGCATGACTAGTTTGTATCACCAGCCTACCTTTGCTTCGTTGTTTTATACATGTGCTTCACTACCAACAACTGTAGCACTCATTTTTGGTAATATAGCCTGCTCGAATGACGCAAGGAAAAAGAAAACCACTACAACCAACATGTGCCAAGTGTCATCAGGCTTCTCCGGAAATGTGTCATCTTTTATGTCAATGCTTTTTTTTTGCATTGACACTTGACCTCCTCTTTTTTATCCGGTGGTTTCACAGAAATCACATATGCCCCCCCTGAAACAATAAGCGTGCACAATGCGTATATATGAAAAATCTCCATACAACGACAACCTGCTACCTTGTATTCTTTCGTACTATAGGCAACAACAACAACAACAACATTATCCTCCTTCTCGTCGTACACAATGGAGCCTAGTTGAATGGTTTTGTCGTGGATGCTTCGATGTCATTGTTCTTAGTCTTTCTACTGAGAGAAGAAATCCTTCTCTTTTATTCTATATGTGTTCATTGTGTATTGTATGGGGAGAAGATTGATCCCCTTCCCCTTGGAATCGATGAAATCAGATATACCACAATGAGCATCTCAACACCAACAACGGGATAAAGAGAACAGCGTACTAATGAAGGTAAAGGGGAAGCAAAGAAAGAGACCCTAAAAGAAATCATGCCAACATGCAGTAGCTTAGCGCCCCCCCCCCACCATCCTTTCCCCTTTTGTATAATTGCAAGATGTTGTATGTCAATGTGTGTATTGTATTATTCACATGGAGGATAATGGTACGTGTATAACGAATAATAAAGGATAAAAGATATTTACATCGTTTATGAGAGAGAGAGAGAAACAGCCCAAGAGAAGAATAAAGAACATAAAAAATTACAATGTAGAGCTCAAAAGATGAATCCAGTCAATTTTTTGAGCGATCGAGCAATCCTGTTACTCGTCGTGGGTGATACGGCTTGCATATCTCGGTCATTGGGCATGCTGTTGGCAAGATCTTGTTGTTGGGGAATAATCGTGCTCATGAGTTTCTCTTTAATCCGCCGGGCTGATCGTCTCCGTTTGATGTGGGTATCATCCATCAAGTCATCCTCTGCAAGTTCCATGGCCAATTGAGATTCATCCCACAACATGGTATGTCTTTGCGATGATGGGGATTCTGTATTCGTGGGTGACAATGGTTCCAAGGGCTGTACGATGGGTAATTGTAATGTGGTGGCTATAGAAGGTGTGTGTTGGTGGTGATGATGATGGGGTTGCACGATACCCTGGTTTTGCTGGGTAAAAGAAATGCGTCGCTCGTCGTCAATCCATGAAGCTGGACGTAATGGTGCATGGCAACTATGCCGAAAAACTGCTGCTGTATGATGGTGATGATGATGGTGTTGTTGTTGTTGCTGTTGTTGTTGTCGCATAAGCGCTCCGGCTGATGCTGACCGCTGTGGAGGTAAACCTTGCCGCCGTTGCTGTTGTTGTTGCTGTGGCTCGGATGATGCTGAAGGCCCCGTTGGTGACGATGGTGATGACAAGGATGAATTGCTCGAAACAGAGGATGATAGAGAAGGAAGTTGATGATGCATTGTAAAAAGGTAGTGTGTATATAATGATGGCGTGTACAAAAGATGAATTGGAATTTCTCGGGTGAAAGGAAAAAAGTTCAAGAGATAAAAGATTGATACTGCTCAGTATCCTAAGGATGTAATGCTCGACAAAAGAATTATTCCCTCTTGGAATGCAATGAAAAACAAGGACACTTCTTGATAAAAAGGATGCTACACAAATAAAAGGGAAAAGGGAAAGTGTACGCGAAGAACACTTCAAGCGAGGTTGCAGCTTTATAAAGACCCTTCGATTGGACCTGGGTGACCTTGATTTGGAAAGCACTCCACGTGTGTGTTGCCATGAGCCTTCTCTCTCAGTTGTGGATACTTGTACCACGCCAGGTGCTGATGCTGGTTGGCTGCATTTGTTGCGTATATTTGTTCCTCGTAGAAACCACACACCCATTTGCAATTGAAGCTGATGCTGTTATTCATTGATACCATTCTGAGATGAGACAAAAAAGGAGCCATAATACGCATGAGGGAGAAAGCAAAGAGGAGGCTGTCGGAATGGGGGAAAGGTGTATGTAGGTGTGTGGTTGTATTGATATTGAGGACATGATTACGCGGAGCTTTTCTTCCACAACATTTTTTTTTCTTTTTCATCTCCTCTTTTTTTTCTTTTTTGTCATAATGTTGTGCAAGGAAACGGCTTGCCACATGGCACACAAGAAAGCTGAGTTGTAGAGAGAGAAGAAAACACACGACAATGAGCATAACGGGTAAACTTTATGTTGCTTGGACCACTTGATAAAAGTATGTGCGCCTTTATGAAACGAACGCCTCGCTTATTTGCTCCGAAAGCAACATCCATTTTGTGTGCACGGGACTGGTTGGTGTGAAGCTTACAATGTCATGAGCAAATGTATGCGCACAATCCAATAAACGTGGTAGATGTCCGTGTCACCATGGACCCACGCATACATCAGACTCAACATAGTAGTTCCATGCATTTGAACATATGACAGAACTTTGCTGCTGTGATAGATGCCATTCATCTCAGCCGAGCCTCATCCCAATATCGGCTTTGGCATTCTTGTTCTTACCTATGTGCTTGGGCTGATAGTATTCCCTTGTAGAAAAACAGCAATTGCAACGATTGATATGGGTACCGTTTTCGTTTGAATGAGCATACACACTCCGTCGCTTGTGGAATCATAACATTTGTTGTCGAACGTGCCACTGCGGTGATATCATTCTTTGCAGACTACCTGGCTCGAGCTACAAATTTATGCTGGATGACCTATGAATAACCGAGTCCGGCGATATTACAAAGTCTCAGTTGAACCAATAAACCAATGGCAGATAAATGTTGTGGGTTGCACAACATGGTTGCATTTTGTAACCAAAATCCTGTTTTGTTTCGAAAGCTCGCTCGACACCCGTTGAATTTCCTTATTAGTAGACGCCCCGTTTATTGTAGCTCATTGTTATGAAATATTCATGCGAGCTGTTGACACACGAAAGGTACGGCTTTCTTTCCAGATATGGTGTGTATCTTACTATTGCCGCTGTCGTTGGGAAGCGCAATGGAGGTCCATCACACCACACGCTGCTTGTTGATAGTGACTATTGCGCTCTTGTTTTATAGATGCGTGCTGATAACACATTTACATACTAGGCATCCCTTGGGCAATTGAACAGCCACCATTTCATTCAACCCACCTAGAATTGGCTTCATCCAAGACCAAGCCAATACACCATCTTTGCTAAGACTTGATTCGAGACCAGCCAAGATGCTGCTGGCAAAGGTTTGAGCATGGAGATAGCATGGCTACATTGTTTCATCTTGATACCTTTGAATGATTAGCATTACCATTACTCGCCATTAAAAGATCAACCTTGCATATAAAGAGATGTATCTTTGTTATTGAAGGGGGGAAGCCGATAATGAGCCTCCATGTTGTTGACTCCATCCACTACATCACATGCAACAATCATACGTAGGATGAATGTCTACTTCTATTTTTCTTAAGACAGCGACATGCACTTGAATCTTAACATGAACAATGAAGTCAAATGATACATACGCACACAAAAGCCTTCAAGTATAGCTTACGAGAGTTTATTGGTAGAAAGGATGTGATTCTCTATTTCCACTGCAGCTATCCAATACAAGAAGTCATTGTGATGTTTCATTGACCGAAAAATGTATATCCAATCAAGGCCCTGGCGATAATGCCGACTTGCGGGAGGCTGAGTGCCTAAATACACACACATTTCAAAAATCCTTTTGACAGCAGTGCTGCTTCTCCTTCACCATGTTCCACCTTTCAAAGTTTACTGCTCGATTAACGAATCGTCTTTCGTCTGCAACGCAGCACCGTGTCACTCTACAAGCAGCTGTTGGTAAGTAAGAGCTATGTCAAGGATCATTGGGAATAGTCATACTAAAACGTCGTCTCTTGCCATGTTCCTGTCAGGGAGACCGATCGTCAGCAGAAACCCCTTGTTGCAGAATGTGCGCCTAGCAACAATCCACAGCACTCGTTTATGTTTCAATGCAGTCAACAATGCTACAGCCGAAGAGATCGTCACTGCTGCACCTTTGGAAACGCCTGCACCCAAGCGATTTGCTGATCTAGAAGCTATTGACAAGAGAACTCAACGTGCTATCAAGAAGGTGTTCAAGTACGAGACCATGTCGACAGTACAAGAAGCCGTGTTGACGAGAGTTCCCAATACGCAAGACATGTTTGTGAAGGCCAAGACGGGTACTGGCAAAACACTTGCATTTTTGATGGCTGCCTTGGAGACGTCTATCCAAAAGAATGACAACTTACGTTACTTTGAGGGGTCTTCGATTTTGGTTGTTTCACCTACTCGGGAACTTGCATCTCAAATTGCAGTGGAGGCTCAAAAGCTGACTCGATTCTATCCATTCCAAGTGCATTGTCTTGTTGGCGGTGAATCCAAAAAGAGACAATTAGACAGCCTTGAGCGTGGCCGTGCCGATATCATTGTTGCCACTCCAGGTCGTCTTCTCGATTTACTCGACAGCTCCTATCGCACCAAACAATTGATGAAGACTCTCAAGGTGGTGGTTTTGGATGAAGCCGATCAATTGGTGGACATGGGTTTCCGAGCTGATGTGGAACGGATCCTTAAGCAAGTACCTCGTAAGCGCCAAACGATGCTTTTTTCAGCAACATTATCACCAGAGATTCGTGAGAGCTTGGGAAAGGTGGCACTCGATTCTGATTATGCATTGATCGATACGGTGGGAGAGGACGATGTTCATACTCATCTTCACGTCAAACAATCAGCACTTGTTGTCCCTTATGATCAGCAATTGACTTATCTCCGCAACTTGCTCAACACTTATCCAGCTGCACAAGTGGGAAAGACAATTGTATTTTTGCCAACGACTCGATCCACAATGATGTATGCAAGTTTACTCAAGTATTTGGCTCCTAAGCGTGTGGTGCTTGAATTACATTCCAAGAAGCAACAAGATCAACGTAGCCGTATCGCACAGAAGTTCAGAAAGGCACCACCAGGTGCTGTCTTGGTGACATCGGATGTTTCAGCTCGTGGTGTGGATTATCCTGGTGTATCGTTGGTCGTCCAAATTGGTGTGCCATCATCACGTGAACAATACATCCATCGATTGGGTCGTACAGGTCGTGCTGGAAAGGATGGTGAAGGTATCATTGTCTTGGCACCATTTGAGACACCTTTTGTGAAGGATGACATTGGTGATTTGCCCATTCAAAACCTGATTCCACCAAAGATTGAGGATGAGGAACAAGAAGAAACGGATAAGCTTGTGACATATGTGAGAAACAAGGTCATTGATCCCAGTCTCATTCATGATACTTATACTGCATACTTGGGATATTGTAAGTATCATACGAGGATATTGAGAGTGTTAAAGTACAGTGATTAACTTTTGGTAAATATAGACGCTGGTCGTATGCAAGCCTTGAATCGTCCTCGTTCGCATGTTATCAAGGAAGCCGAATCATTTATCCAAGCATTGGGTGTTGAACAAGTACCAGAGCTCTCTGATCGATTCATGCAAGTTCTTGGTATTCAAGAGAAAGCACCAAAGCGCCCAAAGAGATCGATGCGTAATGACAAGTTTGGTGGACGAAGCAAGGATCGATTCTCATTCAACAGCGACAAATTTGATTTCAAGAGAGGACGCTTCGATAAACGCAACAGGAATGATTTTGAGGATCATCGTACATTCATGAAAGAGTTCAAGAGAGGTTTCGGTCGTCGTCGTGATGATTAGTCGGCGCCACTATACCACCCACCTCCCAAGTGGATAGTTATAGTACACATTCTAATAGACTGCATTTACATTGTACAATTTGTTGATATTTTCATTGCTTATTATAAATGCTCATTTACATATGTAATTATCCGCAAAGTAGTATAATGGGAATTATCATAGGCTATTTAGCTGACAGCAAACGTGGAGCATCCTCGGCAGACCACGAGCGATATTAATTTCCCGCTCCCTTTCTGGTCGAGCTTGTTCCTCCTTTCGCTCTTCCATTCCTTGCTGCCATGTCAACCAGATACGCTCGGACAGCTGATAAGGCGTTGAATGAGAAGCATTCCAAGATTCTCAAGGATCTCTTGAAGAAGCCTGCCAACAAGTATTGTGCCGATTGCAAGAGAAAAGGTAACTAGATGAACAAAGGCATTGGATGGCAGCTCAAAGTTGGAACTCATTTTCGTTTGCCATTTACAGATCCACGGTGGGCATCCTGGAATATCGGTGTCTTTGTTTGTATTCGATGCTCTGGTGTTCATCGCTCGATGGGAACACATATCAGCAAAGGTAAATGTCTTGGTTGGATTGGATGATGATAAAAGAGGGGGGGCTGTTACTGATGTTCTATTTTACTACAGTCAAGTCTGTTGATCTTGATACATGGATACCTGATCAGGTGGAGAACATGATTCGATGGGGCAATGAACGTGCAAATAAGTGAGTTGTGATGTGTGGCATTAAAGGAAATGAAAGATTGCTTATATTTTGTGCAACCAAAATAGATATTGGGAAGCCAATCTCAAGGATAAGCGTCCATCCGAAAGCAACATTGACATGTGGATCAGAGCAAAGTATGATCAAAAGCGGTGGGCAATGAGAGGTCCTATTCCTGATCCAAGCACTTTAGGTGGAGATGATGACGAGGTATGTTTTAACAATATCTGGAAAGGGTATAAGGTGCTGATGGATGTGTATGTATATATGTTTATATAGGTGATGGAGTCGGCAAGTAGCACCAGTAAGCCAAGTTCACCTGTCCCTGCTCGACCCAAGCAACAGCAACAACAACCTGCATCCCCCAAACCACCCAAATCATCCGACTTTTCCAACTTGGACGATTTTCTCGGATCACCAACAACCAGCAGCTCTACTAGAAATCAATCTCCAGTATCCCAGCTGCAGGGTGCAGACTTCTTTTTCAGCTCGACCCCTAGCAACAAGGCACCCACTACCACCACCACCACTACACCTCCTCCTCCTCAGCAACCATCCACTCCACCCCAACAACAACAACAGCAACAACCTGTCAAATCAGCTCATGATGATCTCAAATCATCCATCCTATCATTATACAGCAAACCATCCCCAGCTCCTTCACCACCCATGACCATGAACAATGGTGGATACGCAAACAACATGAACAGCTTCCAACAGCAATTGTCAGGTTTATCTCTTGGCACCTCTGGCATGATTCCTCAAGCACCTGCCGGACATTCATTTAACAATGGTTGGGGTTCGTTTGCTGACGCCAATACTTCACCCATGCAATCTACAACACAACCCAGTCTTCAAGGCAGCCAATTTTTTGCTACCAATGGCAATACCAATAACAGCAACAGCAGCAACAACAACACTCCTCCCGCACAAGCAAAGCAGGCTTATGAGTAAGTTTTATTTCTTATGATGGATACCCTTTGGCTCAAGGCTCATACGCTCTTTTTCTCTTTTAGTGCATTTGCCGATCTTTTGAAATAGATGATACATCCTATACTTTCTATACATAAAAGTATATCCACTTGATAACCAAATAGCTACGTGTGGGATGTGTCAGGTTGCGGCATAAGGGGGTTTACCAGATCTGCGTCCGATCGATGTCAGGGGTTATTTCCGGAACATGACAGTGATTGTTTAGCGGATGATGCATTATTACACGCGATTGAATCATGTTTCCAATGGACATCGCTTCATTTTCTTTTCTAATAGGCTGTGGTTTACTGTACCTAATCTCTCAGCAATATCACAATGATGTTCAATAACATCATACTGATCGTTATTCCCATCGTTTCATATTATACGTCATATTGATCTTTATGCATGAAGCAACCGTGTTGTCACTTTTTGCAGCCGTCAAAACTATAAAAGCTCGACAGGATTAGCTGCTGTGAATAACTTTACTTCATTCAAGTTTTATTATCAACAATGTCTGGTCAAGCAAACAACCCCGCCAACTTTGCCAACCGTCCCCGTGAGGAGGTTCAAAACATCGCTTCTAAGGGAGGTCAAGCTAGCCATTCCGGAGGTTTTGCCAGTATGGATCCTCAAAAGCAACACGATATCGCTTCCAAGGGAGGTCAAGCTTCCTCTGGTTCCTTCGAGAAGGGTAGCGAGAGAGCTCGTCAAGCAGGACGCAAGGGAGGACGTGCTACAGGACGTGAACAATATAATGAGGAGGACGATGATCCCTACATCCAAGACCAGGAGTAAATCTATCATCCTACCACACGATGTACACAGCCCCACTTTTGTAAATTTCTCAAAGTCTGTAGCAGTTATGACAGTTGTAAATACATAAGCTTTTGAGTTTGTTGAAGTCTTTGTGTGCTTTGATTTGGATTCTATCACATTTGCTTATATAGCAGGATCATCGTTATGTCGTAGTAAGAGATCAAAAAACTATAGCCGCACATGGCCTTTTATTCTCATTCTATTTTCATGACCATATCAAATCACGGTAGCTGCTCAAAGTACATCATACCAATGTCCCATTTAATATTCCAAACTCGTTTTTTATACACAACCCAATGTAATTCATATGCACACACATTCCATACACACACATGAGCTTCCTTGGTAGCGTTCAAATCATGTTGAGACAATAGATTCTATTTTGGAAATACAACGATGGATATCTAGTATCTGATTCGATGGCATGGTACAACATTAGCTATAGGAGAGGTATATGGCATGGCAACTTGGCCGGTTGTCAATGGGGATAAATGGCCTGTGAGCAGCTCAAAATGGGAACACTGTGTGACGTTGATGATTTGGACAAGGCAGATTTCCAGGCTGTGAATGGGCATACTTGGGTGTGAGTGCAGTACTACTTTTCTACTACCATCCCTCCGAGGTTCTTTTGCCAAACTCCCATGCCAGCAACTAACGACGCTGTCGACGAACATACATCGAAAGAGGTTGCTGCTACTAGTGACCACGTCATTGGATCCAAACGACCCATAAAAGACACCAACTCTTCCACTCATGACGATAATCGACGCGAAGACGGCGATCTGCACTTGTTGTTGCAGCAATTCACCACGATCTTGCTCCAGTAACGTATTCAATACTCTTGTCGGTTTGTTGTATCCAATGCTTATAACCCAATGCTACCTTAGAAACGACACGAATGGATTGTTGAGGAGTCGACAAAACCAGGAGATAGAAGATAATGAGCTTACGATGGACACGATCCAGGCCAAGCTTGATGCATATACAACTATCAAGGATTTCAAGGTAAGTACTATATGAATAGGGCTTGATTTGGTAACGCTGTATTTGACATTTTTCCTTTACTTTTTGCAGCATGATTTGAAGCGGGTATTTCAGTCAGCTCTTGGGAAATTATCAGGATCACATTATGAGTCGCTAGTGAAGCTCCACGATTTCGCGATGAACACCTTGCAATTCGAATCCAGGAGATTGATGCACAATGAGGACGATGATGATGACAAGGAGCATGATTTTGTCGATGAACGAATAGCGCTTTTCAGACCTACTTTGGATGGATTCGTTTTTTCAGATTCAGTACCAGCATCAGCATTGCATGAAAATAAGGACAAACTACGTAAGCATTTAAAAGTGAAGTATGGACAAAAGGGATTGATCATTCTATGTTATTTCAGCATCGGGTATCCAAGAAATGGTCGTTTATCCATCATCATCTGCATGTGCCCCAAGTGAATTGTCGAATCTTAAAAGCATTGTACCTTCACCACCTCGCCATCCATCACGAGTACATAGACATGAAGATAAACCAGCTGTTCCAAGTAAGTATAGCGTAGCGTTATATGATCCCAGGATTGGATTAACATGGAGATATATGAAACAGTTCAATGGCTGGACTATGGGGCATTTTCCAGCTTTGCACCTACTCGGGATTCCAATCATGCCAATGTATCGTATGAAAGCACATATATGGGACGAGCAGCAAAACGATTTAGACGATGGGAAAAGAAGCAGCGTAACCTACAGACTTTGGGAAAGCCGACGACTCCACCACCTTCAAAGCAGAATGGTGTATCGCCACCTCCACCTTCCTCACAAAAAGATGATGGCGACAAAATCGATACTGAATGGTTGCGGAAACAAGGATTAGATGCGGATGCTATTGTTGCAGCAGCACAATCAGGGTCTTTCAACGTGGATGATCTCGTGGACAACAATGAAACCAACATAGATGGTCAACTAGAAAGGAATGCCGAGTTATTGGATTACTTGTCTCAATATCAAGAATATCGATTTGGTTTGGGTGATGCACGCTGGGGATCCATTGATGAGGCTGAGCAGGAAATTGGTATGTAGCACTCACTCACTATGCATATGCTCTATACTAATAACATTTCTACAGCCAATGCACTTCAAAAGCGTATGCAAAAACTGATATCCAAGGTACCGCCGAAGGATTTGATTGATGCATCAACCATAGAATCGGCCATGAAACGCCTGCCTCTTGTTGAATCAGTTTATCGAGGCACGTTGCCACCCAGCAAGTTGTTTGCATATCCAACAAGTGAAAAATTGGAACCGATCCCACCTATCGCCAATGCCATTCCAGGGTATCCAAAGGAACGATGGCGAGTGTTTGATATTCCACCCATACCCAACAGACAACCAACAGCAGCCAATGGTGGAGAATCGTCATCACGTGCTATCAACCCTCTTCCTCCTCATCACCAACCTCATCCATCATCTCCTGCCACAGGACATCCGATGCATCATTCATCCCAATCGCCTGGAACCAGATAGTGTCACATAAGTATATCAGTCTCTATATATTAATAAAAAAAGAACTATCTTACAAGATCCTAATCACAAAGAGTAACATTATGACGTTGTTGAAGAGATCTCAAACCACAAAAAACAAGGAGGTGATACCCAGTACATCCTTTGTACCAAGACACAATGAATCAATCATACCTTTTTGCTTCCTCTTTCTTCCCTGTATCACGGCATTTACAAGTGGAAATATTTATACATACAATCCCTGCATGAGTCTCTATAATAATACAATGCAATCGACTTCTCACACACAATGAGGCCCAACTCAGGAAGAAGGAAGGTCTCTTACACTTTACAAACTAGAAATAGTTGGCGAACGCGATCTAGTACTCGCTGCAAGTCACCCTTTATCCAACATTCATGCACAAGGGGTACAATGGATTGTTACAATTGAGGAGATACATCAAATTGAGGTTGTGCACAGGTGGACGGATGGATGTGAGGTAGTGTTTGATGCGTGATGGCGTATTATGGTTGACAGGTTGCACAAAGGATGATGGCAGCAACTGCCATGGAATAGGGAAGCATCAATCATTCAGGATGACAAGCATCAAACATCATGGTCCAGTTGACAATGAACACATAAGAACAAAAGGACCCTTTTCCACACATAGTATATATCCAGATCCTTCCATCCCATATACTAAACCAATATCCATATCCATATCCATATCCATATCCATAGAAAGCTGTCTGTATTGAAGCAAGTTGCTACATGTAAATAAAGCTGTTTGTATATGATGGCTATCTTCTGTTCGCGTAAAAAGGTTGTAAGGAAAGTTGTTGCAAATAGATGACACTGCTTGAGACCATCGAGTAAAGACCTTCCTAATGGCAGCTGCTGTTACGTTTGGTGGTGGCAGAGGGGTGTGCAAGAACGTGTGTTGCAATAGAGTGACAATGTTGTGAATGCTGTTTGAGACAATGAAGTAAAGACCTTGCTAATAGCGACTGCTATTACGTTTGATTGTGGTCGAGGATTGTACAACAGAATGTGAAGATGTCAAGAGCCCCGGGTGTTGTAGTGAGGGTGCACACGCCATGGGCCTGCCATTGAGTCAAAGGCAATCGGATCAAGGCAATCGGATCAAGGCAATCGTAGCGTTGACATGATGGGTTGAAGCAGGACAATCGTTCGCAGCAAGTAGTTGTACTTGAATGGGGCAACGATTGAGAATGGGAGGAAGAGGGAAATACGCTGAGAGTGGAAGAGGTGGAAATTAAATGAGTTGATTTGGTGTTGGATGATACTTCTGTGTTTGAGCGTTGCTCAATCAAATCCCCTCGGATCAAGAAAGTTGAAGGATCGACATGATGGGCTGGAGCAGGACAATCGTTCACATGCATTAATTTGGGCAACAAAGGTGAATGGGAGGAATGGGCTGTTAGCTCGCAATATATGGGCTGTTGCAAGTATCATGCATCGACCTTTCCAGTCATGCATAATCAGCGGCGTTACACAAAAAAATTCATCTGCATCTTTGACTCTATCAGGGTCTACCTACTCGACATTAAACAAAGGCAACCTATCATATAGCATCACGCGCACAACATAAAGGTGCCTGTATCTACAAACTTTACAATCAAACGTGGGGTTTTTATTACAGCAATGGGCTCGGCTTGACCAACAGCACCTTGTGTGAAAGTTTCACGATCAAGCTTGCCAATCCCAGATTTCGCAATGTCGCTAGCAGCCAAACTGGATCCGGGGGTCGACCTCTTCGACGACGACGACCAAAAAATATTTTTTGGGCTGTTTGCGACATTGAACGTGAAACTTTCACACAAGGTGCTGTTGGCCAAGCCGAGCACATTGCTCTAATAAAAACCTCACATTTCATTGTAAAGTTTGGAGATACAGGCACCTTTATGTTTGTAAGCGTGATGCTATATGAAGAGTGGTCTTTGTTCATTGTCAAGTAGCTAGACATTGGAGAGCCAAAGATGCAGAAGGACCTCTTTGTTTAACTCAGCTAAAAAGTCAGGACTTCAGGGACAATGCATGATAGGTACGCAACCCTCACTTTTATGTCATACAATGGCAGCCAATAGCCACTTTTGTGCATTCCCAACTTTTGTGCATTCTATTGTAGGTGGACGATGCTCCTGCTCTAGACATTCATTTCCATGATTAAAGTAGGTTGATCCGAGCTGATTTGGTTGAGTTATGCTCACACAAGATTACATCGGTTGAGCTACATCGAGCGTGCTTTATGTCCAGAGTGGTGTAATCTCTCTTTGGCCGCAGCTCAGTCAAATCAGCTCGGATCAACCTACTTTAATCATGGAAATGAATGTCTAGAGCAGGGGCATCCTTCCCATGCGATGGATCTCGCAACAATGATGATTGGATAAAAGTGGCCGTTAGCTGGCAATACATGCCTGTTCCTAGATGATCCATAAAGTAATTATACATTGACCCTTTCATTCATGCAAACGTAGCTGTGTTACACAACACGACCCTCTGCATCTTTTGCTCTGCCAGGGTCCACCTACTTGGCAATGAACAAAGACCACTCTTCATATAGCATCACGCTTACAAACATAAAGGTGCCTGTATCTCCAAACTTTACAATGAAACGTGGGGTTTTTATTAGAGCAATGTGCTCGGCCTGGCCAACAGCACCTTGTGTGAAAGTTTCACGTTCAATGTCGCAAACAGCCCAAAAATTATTTTTTTGGTCGTCGTCGTTGAAGAGGTCGACCCCCAGATCCAGTTTGGCTGGTAGCGACATTGCGAAATCCGGGATTGGCAAGCTTGATCGTGAAACTTTCACACAATGTGCAGTTGGCCAAGCCGAGCACATTGCTCTCATAAAAACCCCACGTTTCATTGTAAAGTTTGGAGATACAAGTGCCTTTATGTTTTACATATGCTGTAATCGTGATGCTATATGACAGGTTGTATTTATTCGATATCAATCACCACCATATTAGAGCCAGAGATGCAGATTGAGTTCTTTGTGTAACAGAGCAAAAAGAAGTCGGGACTTCACGGCTAATGCTATTGGTGGAAGAGCGCATAATGGATCCTTTCCCCCTATACGACACCGAGAGTAATCGTCCGCCTATGGTAGTCCGTATGGAAATGGTTCGTTGTTATGTAAGGTTGCATCAGATGGCGTAGTTGAAATATGGGCATAGGTAAGCATGGAATGTCCATGTACTTTGTACCACATTGTATCACAGCTCACTCTTCCTTGATCATAATGAATTAAGCTTACGATGCCAAGCTTCTTGGGTAATAATAGCAGGCACTACCTTGAGCATCTTCACTCTCGAATTTAGTATCTTTGCTATACAAGAGTACTATTATCTTTCGACTATCAGCTTGTAAACTAGGAATTTTTATGTAGTGAATGTGACAATGTTGTGACAAAAGAACAAAAGCATCTTGATACGATGATGTAGATGATCCAATCTCGCTTCCCGACCTTCAAACTTGCATTCCCCCTTCAATCCAGAAACCAACCAAGCGATCCACATCTTGCACACGTGAGCTGATAGCACGATACCCTTCTCAACATTATGTTGAATCCAATTTTCATTCAATGAACAATTCGAAGAATAGCACATGGTAGTGTGGATGTTTATAAAGTAAATATGATAGCAACAGCATTGGGGATTGAATAAGATACTGAATCACATAGACTGGATAGGGATCATTATGCCATTGTATTCTTGGTGGGTGCCGTCATAAACATTCTTGATCCACGTTGCAAAATAGCTGCTGCATGCATTGAATCGAGTACTGCAATACCTTCCATGGCTGTACAACGCCCTTCGTCAATTCCATCCCATCCATCACCAACCTCAGCGGTATCCACGTGACACGATCCATCGTTCCTGCTGACGACGCGCCCAAGTAAGCAAAGCAGCATTCTGGATTTCTCATCATTGCACTTGTTTTCATCCATCCACCATAACCATTGCAACTCCAATAAGAAAGTACCATCATGTGATCGCTGCTGACGTGCTTCCTTTTCCATCCTGCTGTTGGTCTGCCTCTTTCTTGGTCATTTTCCATCGTAGCTCAACCAGGTGAAGATTGCTTGTATTGCCGTGTATTTGATATCTGATAAAGCAACATCCATTGGAATTCGTATATACCAAAGCAAGTTTGCTGCAAGTAACTTGAGACCATCGAGTAAAAACCTTCCTAATGGCAGCCGCTGTTACTTTTGGTCGTGGCAGAGGGTGTGCAAGAACGTGTGTTGCAATAGAGTGACAATGTCGTGAATGCTGTTTGAGACAATGAAGTAAAGACCTTGCTAATAGCGACTGCTATTACGTTTGATTGTGGTCGAGGATTGTACAACAGAATGTGAAGATGTCAAGAGCCCCGGGTGTTGTAGTGAGGGTGCACACGCCATGGACCTGCCATTGAGTCAAAGGCAATCGGATCAAGGCAATCGTAGGATTAACATGATGGGTTGAAGCAGGACAATCGTTCGCATGTAGTAGTTGTATACTTGAATGGGGCCAACAGTTGAGAATGGGAGGAAGAGCAAGACGCGGGAGGTGGAAGAAGTGGAAATTAAATAGGCCATACGCTGCCCTACAAATCCATATACACTGCACATGAATCCTTGATAATGAGATTGCCCCTCTTGTACCTGAAACTTTCACACAAGATGCTCTTGGGCATGCTGATCACGTTGATCTAAAAAAGACCTCATGTTTCATTTGAAAATTTGGAATGGGAGGGTGCAGTGTGGGATTTACTATGTAAGTCGGAAATGGAGGTCAGCCCCGGATTCATGATTTATGGAAATAGTATGCATTACCTTGGGATTCCCCATTTCGAACCTGAAACTTTGTCGGAAGGTTCGCTGCAACATGCTGATCAACTTCATTCATTTAAAAACCATACACTTCATTAAGAATGTCTTGAATGCGGGAGGGTCCAAACGGTGGATGATGGGAACAAAAGAGCGGACGGCCCACCGCCCCGAAGTTGCCCACCTCCAACTTGAAAATTGGTCAGAAGGGTGCTCCGAGCATGCTGATCAACATTTTTCTAATAAAAACTTCATGCTTCATTTGAAAATTTGGAATGGGAGCGTCCAAAAGTTTGAAAGACGAAGACATTCGCAGGGTCTGTCTTTCAAGAATTTTCATGTTTGCTGTTCCAGCGTAGCTCAGTCAAATCGGCTCGGATCAAGAAAGTTTAATGATGGAAATGATGGGCTGGAGCAGGAGAATCGTTCTCATGCAATGGAATGGGCAACAATGGCAAATGGGAGGAAGAGGCTATTAGCTGGCAGGCTGTTTATGAACCGAAAATCGATATGCTGATGTTGAATTGATTTGCTCGCTGTGTTGAACATTGTTCGAGTGCAGCTTATTACAGAGGTAACCTCTTACTGTAAATATGGGCTGCAAAGGATAGCATGATCCTGTAATGATGTATACTAGAGATTGCATTAAACGTGTAAGCTTTCAATGTAAGATCCCATAGGTAGTGTCAAACCATTCAAGGAGAACTGAATGGGGCTGCTGAGCCAAAGACAATGATCATTGGTTTCAATAGGAGAATCAAAAAAAAATTTTTTTCAAATAGATGGGGCAAAGGGGAACCTTTGTTGTTTCTTTCTCTTTTCCTTTTTCTTTAAACATGACGGGTGCTTCGCGTACTTACAGCAAGACTTCCAAGGTCCCTAAGCGTCCCTATGAATCAGCTCGTCTTGACCAAGAGTTGAAGCTCGTTGGCGAGTACGGTCTCAAGAATAAGCGTGAAGTCTGGCGTGTCGGTTTGACCTTGTCCAAGATCCGTCGTGCTGCTCGTGATTTGCTTACCTTGGATGAGAAGGATCCTCGTCGTCTTTTCGAGGGTAATGCCTTGATTCGTCGTCTTGTACGCATTGGTGTCTTGGATGAAAGCCGTATGAAGCTCGATTACGTCCTTGGTCTTAAGATTGAAGACTTTTTGGAGCGTCGTCTTCAAACCCAAGTCTTCAAGCTTGGTCTTGCCAAGTCTATCCACCATGCTCGTGTCCTTATCCGTCAACGTCACATTCGTGTTGGCAAGCAAGTTGTCAATGTTCCCTCCTTCATTGTCCGTTTGGTAAGTCTTTTATCACACAATCCCAATGAGGTGGCTTTTATCTGACTTTGTACTTTTTGAAATTATAGGATTCCCAAAAGCACATTGACTTTGCCTTGACCTCTCCTTATGGTGGTGGTCGCGCTGGTCGTGTCAAGAGAAAGAGAGCCAAGGCCGCCGAGGGTGGTGATGACGAAGAGGATGAAGAGTAAATCTCTTTATCTTACAAGCTGTTGTATGAACCTTTGCATGCCGTAATAAAAAAAAAGATGTCCATCTACGCATGGTTTCCTTTTTTGCATGCAAAGCACCTGTGCAAATTAGCGCAGTATCATGGCAACAAAAACACACGTGTAAGTATGTCTCGCACTTGGTGTGGCGGGTTGGTTTGCTGCTCATCTCTTGGTCTTTTCTTTCTTTTTTGGACTTTTGGATGTAGCTTCCCTTCTCTCTCCCTCTCGCCTTCCACTTTTTACCATGTGTGTGTCTATCTTTGTGTTTTTGCCAGGTGCTTTGCATGTAGATGTTGTCAATTGATTGGGGGGGGGTGTTGGAGGTGTGGTATAATAGTCAGCTGAAAATGATGTTGGAACCAGCATTAGACACTCATTTAACAAGTAAGTGATAATAAACAAAGGAAACATTTTTTATATGTATAAATCGTTGATTGTGCTTATTGCTTGTGTCTATGGTGATGGTATGCTTTGTTGATCATTGATAGCTGCATCAGCAGGTGATGAATCAGCAGCAGCAGGGGCTTTGATGGCATCAGATACAATATTGACCACATCTGCTACTTCAGGTGGAAGTTCCTTGTCCTTGGCAAAGTAACTTTTGAGAGCATTTTGCATTTTGCCAAACGCATTTCCTTCTATGCGCGTGCCGTGGTATTGTGAGATCTCATCATGGAACCTACACAAGACATAAGCTATCCACCATCACAAACACTCACGTTGTTATCCACACTTACTGTACACAGTCAAAATCCCATGTTGAGCGCCATTTGTGGGCCATGCATTCTTTCTTTGTCCAGGGTTCGGCATAGGTGATGGGGATGAATTGGCGATATACAGTGATCACACAAAGGATAACCAGCACAGCTGCGATTGTGCGCTTTTTGGATACGAGACGTACAGTGACAAAGTCGAATACCACACCAAATAGAAGAATCGAAAAATAAAGTGCTGGCATGTAATGATGCAAAAATAGCTGACGGCCCATCAGGAAAAAAGGAATGTAGTGAAGAATCCATCCCACCAAAAAGAAGCCAGCCGACTCATCGTAAAACTTCCTTAGACCTGTTATTTAATTGCGATAAGTCCTCTTTCCTAAAGACTTTTTCTTATCCAGAATCTTACCTGCCAATTGAATGTGGATGCCTCTCTTGTCCAGCAATAAGAGGATAGCTCGAAAAGCAACGTAAATGACAATAGATGCTGTTGACATCCAATACACCAATGGGTTTCCAAGCAAGTAAAGATGTCGAAAGTCTCGTCCCCAAAAGTTGATACCACGTCGAAGCAAAGGCCATGCCTAATGCCATTGATAGTCAATCACTACACAATATCCCAAAGACATCGGTTACTTACCGATGGCCGAGAATCGTATGGATGCGATGATGTCAAGCCTTTGTTAACATCCCACATGACCTTGTTCAATTCCATAAACCTAGCAAGGAATCCCGGGCGGCGATAATTCACTCGTTCTGTATCAGGAGGCACTGGTTTATAGAAAAAGCGATTAGTACCATTCATATAGTAATACCGTAGCATCACATACATAATGCATTCTCGGTGGATTCGATGTACCACATTGTCTTTGGCTTTTTCCCATTCTTGATGCATGTAACTTCTTGTTGACCCCAACCCCACTCTGGTAACTTGACAGAATGGGAAAAAAGTGCGCAATTCTGTAACACATGCACCAATCGAAATTTGGAGTGAAGCGTTCGTAGCCTATCTTTGGATTCGGGGTCATGCTTGTCATGATCAACGATCTCCACCCGCCAATAGTCGTTGGCATCACCATCGAATCCAGGGAATCCATATGTACTAAAAGGTTCATCAGCACTCACTTGTTCGCATATTCCTTTTCCTTTGTTTACCTGACTTCATTGTGATAATCCAAATCAGTCATGGGGGGTCGATGATCGTGCGAATGAAGGCGTTTGTTGGAATCATTGTGAATGAGGCGTACGATATCTCCATGCTTGATGTATTCAATGCCAGTGACTTGCTCTGTATCCTTCTTATAGATGGTCCACCAGTTGTTGTCATCGCGATGGGGGTAGAGCGTTACTTGTTGTTCTATAATACAGGTCTCAATACCTGATTTTCTTCCACTTTGTTTCCAATACACTTACGCTTGCTTCCAGTTGGATAATCATGAGGATGGGAGTGTAAATAACCACCTCGAGTAGCCATATGACGGATATAGACGCGGGACCCATAAGCAATATCTGATACAATTAATCAGTATCACCCATTCCCTATCATTACCCAAATTGATTCTACTTACCAACAGGTGTATCAGCGAGCTTGTGACCTGCTAAAGTTTGCTGGAACTCTGGTGACATGAATCCGTTGCCCTCGCCACTGTTTGGCAATGAGTGGAAGTGGATACCGAACATGAGCATATAGACCGTGATTGGTAGTACAATCAAGCAGAAGGCACGTGCCATGAAATGACGAATAAAAATAGGCTTGCATGAAATGAGTTGCCTGATATTCATTGTTGCATTAATTCAACTTACCACTGGCACACGGGTATCTCCCCAAATTTCCCAGAGGTTCTTGATGGTTGATACGCCCACCGTAGCAATCATGAATAGACCCACCCATTTGCAGCTCACAGTCAAACCCAATCCCAAGCCTGTCAATGCCAACCAAAAGTACCACCAGAATTGGAAAGGCCTATACATCGACGTGTGAGATACATGATAATTTCAACTTGTTGATAAATGTATATACCTGTTTTGCTGATTATGAAAGTTGACCCATACAAGCGCTGTAGCTGCTGTAAATGACAAGAGCACAGGATCCAGCAAGATGTGTCGATTATTGGTGATCAAGCCATTCTCTACAGCATTCCATCAGTTTTTCTTGCCATTTGTATCCCATTTCCTAATACTTACCATAGCATACCATCAAGGCAGCTACCACAGCAGAAGCCACTGAATGACCCGATTGTCGCATGGTCCAATAAGCGATGGGCACCGTCAATACACCATTCAAAGCACAAAACACACGCATGGAAATATACGGAACACCAGGACCAATGTAATCCCTGACGTGTCCATGTCAGTCTAAATCACTATATTGTCTCCTTCCCCTCCCCCTTGGATACTCACTTGCCAATATCCTTGAAATCAAATCCACCATCAAACCCTGCCAACTTTGCCACCAACGCGATCAACATTTTTGCGAGCTATATAAGCATGCATATGAGTTATATATCTCCCTATATACAATGAACACCGCATTGAACTTACTGGTGGATGTACATCCATAAAGAATCGTGTCTTGATATACTTGCTAGCAAATCCACCAAAATGGACCTCGTCAAAGCTTGGATACCATCAGTTTTCATTCCACCCAAGGCCCATCTCAACCTCATACTTACACGACCGAACTTGGCTGTGAGATCCTCCACAAGCGAATATACAAAGCCCATACAGTGAGAGCAAGGCTGATACGCCAATCACGTTTACGAGCTTTGGAGTCTGCAATGGCCTTTCTTTGTCGCGCCTTGAATATCTTGGAGTCATAGTCCATAGATAGATCGACATCGTCAAAGGGATCGTCTGCTTCGTGTGGCCTTTTGAAATGGCGTTGGCGAAAAGAGTCTGAGGATCGTGTGGTGCCGGTAGCGAAACCGTTGGTATCATCGCGCATGGTCAAAGGAATGTGATCTGGAGCTGCAGCAGCAGTGGAGTTGGGAGAAAGGAACGATGAGGTTGTTGGTGGTTGCTGTGGTAATTGCCCCGCCAGGGGTTGTTGTTGGAAATAAGGCAGCGACGAGTGTCGGCTGGTCATTTCGTTCAATGGTCGACAAGGTAGAATGAATGAATGGTGGTTGTCTGTGTACCAATGTGTGTTGGAAGAAGAGTGGAGTTACGTTGAATACTTTGTGGTAGAAAAAGAGGATGCGGCGGAAGCTATGGTTTCTGTAATAGGCACACTACCACTACTCGCCATTGCGGCGACTTAAAAACGTTTCTCATATGATGTTGAATGGAGAGTTTTCATGCCAGCCTATGCCATTTTTATATACTCAATCAATTATCGCCTAATGCACGGTCCCTTCCCAATAACGCTTATTGTATCTAAGCTTAATACTCTTCCCAATCTCCAAAATAAAACCATCGTTTGCTGCAAGGACAAGATTTTTGTATCTTTATTGTTGGATGTACAAAAAAGCCACAGGCTTTTTCTAAAGAGTTACAGTAATTACATGTGCGTTCGAGTGAGTGAGTGAGTGTGTGTGGGTGTGGGTATGTATACATGAGAGTGGGGTGTTTGTACAATGTATTTTACTTTATGCGCTTGCATAAAGGCAGGGCTTCATCGTCATCAGTTTCAATATCAGCAGTTTCACGATCCCGTTTCTTGCCTTGCTTTGCTTCAGTAAATGCTAGGAACGAAGCATAGTCATACACCTTGTTTGGATATGCCTTTTTCAAGCGTTGGTATTGGTCAAGTTTGCCTTGGTGGCGTCGACGTGCATTTTGAAACCAGGTTGAGACTATTATTAAACGAGCGTTAGCTATGTTGTTTGTGATAAGGAAATAACATTACTTACCCTGCACCAATGTCTTGTTCGCTTGTTCGGCAAGCATTGCCTTGTGATTTGGCTCAGGGGTCTTTCCACCATGCTGAAGATACCAATTCATCAAAACGTTTGTTGTTTCACGGCTATAGTTTTTGCGAGTCTTCTTTGGTATTCCATGTTGGCTACTTGATGATGATGAAGATGATGAAAAAGAAGAGGAGGAGGATGTACGTCGTCGTCGTCGTCGTGATTGTGGTGCATGGCCCTCACCGTATTCGGAGCTTGTATCACGGCAAGATAAATCATCATCATCATCATCATCGTCTTCTGGAATCCACTCGTCTGAACGCTTGCCAAGTGTGGTGGTCGTGGTAGGTATTGATGCTGATCCTTCATCGTCTTCCAAGCTAGTGTTGTCATAGGCAAGTGTGGTATCAATAGTGGTGCTACTAGCCACATCCAAATCTCCTTTAGGGGCTTGAATTGGTGGTTCGGTGCTGTATTCTTTTTGCAATACTGATGTGGATACGGGTGCAGAGGCTTGTCGTTGTCGACGTGGTTTGTTGTGTTGTTGTGCTGAAGATGCGGATTGACGGCGACAACGTCGAGGATTGGCAATGGGACGATCAATGACACGGCTTGCAAGCGTGTGTAGGCAATCATAGATACATTGGCGAATAGGTGGAAATTCACCATCATCATGTGTCAACACGTCGATTGCTCGTTCGTTGATGCCTGTCCATTGGGATTCATTCATCTTGGTATGCTTAGCTACTTGTCCTTGTAGATCCAGCAACAGCTGATTCAAAGGATGTGATTCATAAATCTCGCCATCTTCTTCTTCTTCCTCCTCATATTCCTCTTCGTCAATGCTGCTGTTGTCTGCAAACTCGGCTGTGTTCATATCATCATCATCAGCTTGTTGTTGCTCATCCACAAGCAACTCATCCTCAGCTGCTGTAGGTGTATGGGGTAATGTTGCAGGCCATGGTGCAAATACATCGTCATACGCATCTTCATCCTCATCTTCTGAAAAGCAACAATCCGTATTGCTATCGGCCATTAATGTATCATCACCTCCGTTGATAGTGAGTGACGATGCTGATAGCTGCGTTGAATCGGCTGGTGACGTTGTGCTATCATGAGCAAACAACATGGCGAGATTGTTGTCGCAATCAGTGGTGCTGCTGATATTGGCAGGAAGTGAAAATAATTCTTGGTCGGCATCCATATCTAAAATGGTGCTGGTCACGGGTATGATACCAGTGGATGGTGGTGAGAAAGGACTTGGATACACTGAATCTTGATAGCTGTCACCAGGGGTTGTAGGCTGTTGAGTTGTATTGTATTGCTCATCCTCAGGACCAGGAGATGACCACATTGTGTGAGAGCTGGCAATAGAAGCACTAGGAGATTCCATGCCGGTATTTGCATGCATCTTTGTTGGTGTTACTGTTGTCCAGGTCGCATGCTGCTTTTCATCATGGCTGTTCTCTACTACTGTTGTTGCTGCTGTTGCTGCAGGTGCCACGCGAGGATATCCCAACATTGGATCATCATCTTGTGAAAAGCAAAATGCCTTCCTTGACCCCATCAAATCGTAGCTTTGATGCGGTGGAGAAAACATTGTTACCATCGTTTCATTCCAGGTTCCAGAAGATAACACCGATGATGGATTAAAACGTTGTATGCCAAGAAGCGAAGATTGTTGGTCGTGATATTGAAGAAAACGCTGCATATCCGAAAGTGAAGATTGTTGAAGGTGATGAGGATGCTGTGGCTGATCCCCTGTAGCTGCTGACATTGTTATTTATGTTGAAAAGCGCACGATACGCGGTATGTATGGGATGTATAAAATGCGATAGAGATTTTTTTCTTTGAAAAAGAGGAAGAAACAAGAATGGGTCGCGGGAGATGGGGGGGAATGGAGCGATTTAAATGCATGTGCAATAGTGGATAAGGTCGTTTTTCTCACCTCCGAATCAGCTGTATTGATGGTTGTGGTTGTGGTTTAGTGGTCTGTGTGTGTAGCGTTGAGATGTCTGTTATTGATATTGGCGGTTCTACAAACCTTGATGTGTGTGTGCCGCGTGTTTTTCTTTCTGCCGCCCATGGTTTTAGGTTATCCCTTTTTTATTGTGTCCCAGTGCCTTTCTCTCTTTTGGTTGCATCCGAGCACATCCGTGTGAGACACAAGTAGCCCTGTGTGATGCTAACCAAGCTCATGGGGTTGCCGATCTAGTAGCCAGCACTAACCACGGCACAAATCTCATGGCAGATGTGCTCCATTTGCTCTTACTGATATGTTGGACCCAATGAATGGGAACACACGTAGGCTAAAAAAAAACAAGATTGGGCGGGTGTGGATGCATTACAATAACACAATGAAGGAGGCGATTGCGTGGGTCCAAATATCTTTCTTGTGCAAACAAAGCGAGTGGAGTGTACGGAATGACTGTGCGAGATCCGGTTTATCGATGGTTACATTCATCTCACAAAGTTGCCATACATGGGGATGCCCATCAGAAAATTGGCTAGAAGGAACAAAGTTGAAACACAGGCTGCTTGGGCGTTCATGCCTTTTTCCATGCTAACCACTTGTGGAAGCACGTCCACTATTATCTTTTACACCACGCTATATGCTCAGGACCTGGTTATTATCCAAGGGCAAGAATTTGTTATCAAAGTATACATACGTTACTATTGATCCTTTCGAAAAGTGGAGCGTTAGCATTAGTAGAATGTAAGTGCACGCTTCTTTCCTTAGATGAAGTGTCTGCATAAATGCGGGAATCGTAACAATTCAGTGTAACCAACGTGCACTCAATGCGTCATTTGCAACCATAAGCTCACTCTTTTTTTGTTCACCTTCGTATACGTACATCCACTTGAGCGGGAAACGGACATGCCCATAAAAAAGCAATAAGGCTGTTTATGATATCCATTGTTGAGTATACTTGTCCTTGTTTGATGCGCCTTGTTGCCGTAGCTTGATGCCTGGATGTGTGTATGTACACAAATGTGTGATGTGTGACAAACTTGACGTTAGTGTAACACTCGCAGCATTATGTGCCCAAATTTACACTGCCATTTGGTATATGCAAAACGATGCTTCTCTAGACCAAGTGATCTGCATGATTGCGTTTTAAGCAACAGCGGCTGCATCGTCAAAGAACGAAAGGAAAAAAGGAAAAAGGAGCAAATTACGGGTCTTGTGAGCGAAAACCAAGGCGTATTGTTACTCTTGGGTGGATGATCCATCGCAATAGCTGCCGATCGTATACGCGACCGATCTTTGTGCAACTACAGAAATGTTCCTGTACCTTCCTTTTGCCTCATACTCTCATCACCTTTCACGCCTGTTGACCTTTGTGTGAGGGAGGGAGCAGCCGAGCGGAACATGCATTGCTATTATTTGTTTACCATTTTCCTCCTTGTAGTACAAATCAAGCGTGGAGTAAATAGAAAATGAAACACGCACACATACACACACCAAAAGCTTATATCATAAGCGTTTCATGTATTTGTGTGCAAGAAAGGAGAACATCCACTTTTGATGAGAAGCGGTACATACGCATGGTATCTTACATGCTGTTGGTGCAGCAGTGCATGTTAGCTGGTTTACACTCATTTACTCCTCACCTATTGTTTGGGGTCACGGACGTGCACATACACAAAAACAAGCACATCGGAAGGCTGTGCCGGGCTCAATAGGTTTTTGCATACCAGCACATCCACAACAACGCCACTTGGCTTTGCGTGTAACAATACCCTTTTTCTCTCGGCAATGAACAATGGGTCCTCATGCTCCTTTGTGTTTCACCTTACTCCGCATTAATACATACGCTTGCAATCAGGCTATTTTATGTTGCCAGCAACAGCCAACAACGCCAAACATCTATTTATCTCGAGAAAACTAATACAACATCGTATATTGCATGTCAATGAAAGAAGGAAAGGAGCTTCACATGTGCGCTCGCACATCTCATAAAGAAGGAAAAGTTGCCGGATTGTCATCAACAAGATAAGATTGGATCGTCAGTTGCACCGGTACCTACAATAAAAGCCATCTTTGACATTCGATCCATATCCTTGTTTTCACACTCCCATCATCATAATGACAAACAAAGCATCAGCGACGTCTTCCCATATACGCCAAATGTTGGCAAAAAGAAATGCTTGTTAAAGCTATCTAGTGGTATCTCTGCTTTCCAATACCATGCTACGCTTCCTTCACAACCACTGCGTCGGGTGATCTTTGCTGAATGGCAGCAACCTCAAGAATAACCTTTCCCTCCTCAATTGCCCTGTTCCCCATGTGCCGCTTGCAACCAATATCGATGCATCGAATTGTATTATCATTTTACCAGCAATGTTCCAATAAAAAAGTGTTGCTTCTAACGTGTCGCTCAAATGAGTAATGGACTATCAATAACGGCAAAGCCTGCAGCGACACCACCCTCATGAGTTGCATGTGCCTTGGTCCGTAATAAATGACCACCGATTTCGTTGACCATAGCCTTGTCACCATCACTGGATCATTGTGATTAATATGCAACTCAATATCACTCACATAGCCAGCACTTACTTTAAATAAATACCATAGATGCCAAGTTCACTTGCAACATCACCCTCGATAAGCTCGCCTTCCCTAACCATGAGATTTTGCAATGGTGGACTGCGTATAAGCTCCATGAGAATATAAGCGTTGCGTTCTTCTGGTGATAATTTCTGCAAGATGGATGGGATGTCGTTGCCATAGATGTTGTTGCCGCCTCCTTCACGCTGTGGCTTCATGACAAATCGTTCTGGTTCTTCAAGTGCCATCTTGTAAGCACGTTGGCCTTCCTCAGAGGCATCCAATGGGTACAATCCCGTAAACGATTCACGTAAAAGGTCGGCTGTGTACACATCCACATATTGTTCCAATACGCCAGGGACCGTCAACATTTGTTGCACCTTTTTGGCACCCACCAGCTGATAAGGCACCGTTGGACACTTGATCGACAAGGAACGTTCCACGATCAACCGAGCCTTCCATTCCTATTGTATGAATACCTATTAGCACCCCTGTCGCATTCATAAGAGATACCTCTTCACTCACCCTCTCTGAAGGATAATCTTCAGGAGCATATCCGGCACGATAATATGTAACAGCAATCTCATGACCATCTCTATTGTAAAAAAGTTTAAATCATCTTCCCATATTCCTTCCAATCACGTTCTACTTACATTAATAAAGCCTTTGTCTTGGGATCCAGTGTAGCAGTATTGTCGATTTCCTCGAGTGTGCGTCGAAGCAAACGGATACCATGGCTATGAAACATGTTAATCATCATTCAACAATCAACAAATTTGACTTACGATTCAAGAAGGGTAAATTCAATCCATCGTTGATCGAATGCATTTCGTTCACCTGGTTGGCATACCATCAAGACATGAGCCCTACACGTATACATATGTGTATCAGTGAGATACCATCAACCCACCTTCTCCTTTGCGTCATAGATACATACTGCGGGTTGCCATAGAGCTTCCATGCACTTGCGATACCGCTTGCCAAGCATTCAATAGAACGATTTTCAGGTAATTGATCAATGCTGATAGCACCTTGTGCGTATTTTTCTGTTGCTTCGACCAGGTATCTTTTATAGATAGATGGATGTGTCATATGAGATCACTTATCACGAGTACGCACACACACGCACACGCACACACTCCCATACCTGTGCAATCTACTTGTCCATGTGCTCAAACTTCCGAAACTAGCGGCAATCGTGTTGAATTCCACTTGCTGGATCCGAGCCGATTCAGCATCCGAGGTTGAATGCAATAGATAATCACATCGATGAATACCTAACGATGCACGCTTTCATCACCCTTATCAGTATCCCTCTTATATGATCCTTTCCCACCTATTCTTCCATTACCTGCACTACACCTTCTTCCTGTGTTTTGAGATAGATATCATAAAGCTTCTCCATAAAATCATCCACGCCTTTCAACCTATAGATGTAAACGAATCAGTATACGTTGTATCTCTATTACAATCCTTCTTTATACACACGTACGAGCTCATGGCTTTCTTGATGAGTGCGTCATCCAAGCTTAGCTGATGAATGAGAGTGTTCCATGGTTGCTGCAAGCCTTTAGCTTTCTCAAATTCGGCACGAGGGAATGGCGTTGGATACAGAGCAAATGGTGCGTGGGTTACAGCACTTTGGTTTTTGAAATGTTGCTGCTTATCAACGGTGGGTCTGACGACGAGACCATGAGCAAGGGCCCAGTCAATGGCATCGGTGACAATGGTTTGACGATCGTTGGAGGAGATTGTTGGGGGATACTTCATGGTTGAGGAGAAACAAAGAAAGGTGGAAAGAAGAAACAAGGTACAACGCACACACAAAGGTGGGGCAAACCAAAGCTTACAAATCGCGTGCTTGAGAAAGATGGCATCATTGCATCGATTGAATTCCCGCGTTCATTGTGCCTTATCGGCTTCCCCAAAGCCGATGTCCGTAATATAACGCGTCTTCCAAAACCTTCATACGATGACTAATCAATCCCATCATTCACATTTACCTTGATAACCATAATAATAAAAATGACTAGCTGATGATAGTAACATATCACTACGTGGGGTACTGCATCTATTATCAACGAATGGGACGTGCACGCCGTTGTAATCTCATCAAATCACTCAAAGAAAATGACACGCATGCCTACTACTATCAATGGATATTGAAAATCCATCATAAAATGTTACAGTAGTGTGTATATGAATCATACCATACTTGATATCAATCCTTGACTGTGGTGGTTATGATGCATCTCGAGGGGTGGATGTTTGTTTTAGGGAAAACAGGGGGTGGGTTGGTGATAATAAGGAACGTTTTTGTTTACGGGATAGAAGAGCGTGGGTGGATAATGGTAGATTCGGGACATCTCCGTAAATGATATGTTTGTAGATGTGTCAAATGAAAAATAGGGATTTTGGGGTGATATGGCTTCTTGTGCCTTTCCCCTTCTTCTCTCGTTACCCGGTAGTGGAATGGTGGTACGCTTTGATCCCTGCCCTTCGTCACCCTTCCCCACTAACTACCAATTGGCAATGGAACCTTGATATTTATTCAATCACACACAAACATACACATGATAGCAATCATGAACCAGTGTCAACTCGCATAATAGCAATTGGCAATATGAGCTTTGTTATTAGTGTGCATGAAATTGATTCCCGTGTGACACTGGTCACTGTGTGCAACCATACCTTTCTTCAATTGAATGACACAGTCTTTGTGGGGCGATCAGGTACAACAATGGATGCCATTGGAAGTTAATATCTTTCGCTCGATGTCTACCTTGCCTTCTCCTTGCATAATGAGCTCCTTGTTACTACCAAGTAGTAATAGCTGCCATCCTCCTTGTAAAATGATGATCTTTTCTGAATTTGTCATATGCTAAAAAATAAGGACATCGTTAGCAATGTCGTGATTATAACATAGCAGATGATAACGATGCAGTATGATGATCCAAGATATGGCAACACAAAGGTTTTTTACATGTTTACGGCCATGACGTTGAAAGGGGGTGTTGTTGATACAAGGCCACATTTATCATATACCAACGATGTTGTCGCGTGTGTCATGTGTGAACGATTGCCTGTGCGTAGAGAAACATTGCACACGTCAGCAGCATGTTGTGTATATACATCCTTGATGCTAGGAGGTGGGCGTGCGTATATAGACTCCAAGGGGAAGGTCGTACAGCAGATCAACTATTACATGCCATGATCATTTGCCCGCGTGGGTAATGCCAAGAATCGTTTTCGTATGTATCAAAAACGGTTATTTACATCCTTCCAAGAAGCTACATCCATATTGATGAATCAAAAAAGCGTTCATCGTTGATGGTGGTTTTTACGTTGTACATGTAGCATATAGAACAAAGTATACAACGCGAGAAGAAAACAAGCAAAAAGGGGTGATAAAGTTTGGGTCAAGGGGGAAGAAGGGGGAATGGGATGTAGGACAATTTAAGGAGCTATGATTATGATGATGAGCTGGGGGGAGGGGTTTAAAAGGGGGAAATGGGATCCAGTGCGTGTGTGTGTATGCGTTTAAAAAGAGTTGACTCTCCTGAGACCTGCTTTGCTAAGGAGGTAACAGCACGCCGCTCATGTAATATACATGCTGTGATGCAACGCTCTCGTTATGTGCATGTATGTATGTTACAACCCCTGTTCTCTTTCTCATCGCTAATGCTATTCATAGGAGAAAAGAAAAAGGAAGGCCCTGTTTACAATCACACCCCCTTGTTCGGCTGCTGCAGGAGCACAGCGGGTCAAACACGATGATAATGGTAGGGCGAAAGCAAAAGAATACACCCAGAGGGGTTGGGTGAAAGGAGAAGGAGATAAGTAAAAGGGCCAAATGCGCGAGGGCGCTTACATTGAGGAGACGATGCTTGAAATGGAAAGGGGAGATAAAAAGCAAGGGGAAAGCAAACAGCGGGAAACAAGGCTTTAGTGTCTCTCTCTATTCTTTTTTCAAGGAGGTAGGGTATACACTTTTTGCACCTATGCAAGTGAATGAAAGATGGGTATGTATGTGTAAAGCTTAGACAATGGAAGGAGTTGATGTATATATAAAATGACGGAATGACACCGTAACCGTTTCCGGGGGTTCAAAAGATACTGCTTTGTCTATTGTATTTTGCTATGTAAGCAAGCAACGGACGAGATCTTAAAGAATGGACCATTTGCGAATTGGCTTCTTGGAGGTAATATAACCAAAAAAGGGCAGTGAGCACATTGTTTCGACATGAGAGTAGGAGAAAAAGGGGAGGGCATATAATGGGGTGTGAAGGGGG